GAGTACGCACACCTGGAGTGGATGCTGGGGAACCTGGATGAGGCTCGTAAGGTGTTCTCCACAGCCACTGCGATGGGGGGAGCCAAAGGGCTGAGTAGCCCCACTCTGTGTGAACTTTGCCTCCTGTGGGCCCAGCTGGAAGTGGAAGACGGCATGAAAGAGCGTGCAGGGCGACTCCCTGATGTAACTTCGTCACCGGCTGTCTGTGTTCTGGTCCAGCTCGCAGAGGGAACATCCTCCACCTCATCCTCCCAGTCCATCTCCCCAGTTTCCATCCTGAAAGCCAGGAGATGGTATGAACAGGCTCTGACTGACAGCTTGTCAGCTCTGCACCAGAACGTCGAGAGTCTTGAATTTGACAAAAAAGGTTCACTTTCTAAACATTTTTTATATTTCAAAGAATGCATTTGGCTTATACAATGAAGGACTTTAGGCCCACTGCAACAAATGTTTTATACTGAATCTTTACTTTTTTCCCCCAAACAGATCTTTAATGATTCGGAGATCAATGTAGAAGGATTTAAAATACAAATATTTTTCTAAATTTATATCAGTACACAGCTTTGAAGTTCTGCTGTGCAACACTGAAAGATCTATTGGCAAAAAAAAAAAAAAAAAAATCATAACTGCTTTTTTTGATCACTTATGTACAGTTATGTGCATCGTTATCCTGGTTAAGATGGGATTTTAAGAACATTCTGTCTTGAAATGTTTAATTAATGCTTTAAAAATAAGGTATTAATGAGGTTGTAAACAGTTTATAAAGTATTAATTAGTATTTATGTCATAAGAAACTACATGGAAACAGACTTACTTTTTGGAAAGATTTAATGTCCTTTTTAACTAATTTTGCAAAACCTGCTTAATAAGGGGTGATTATATGTTTACAAATTGATTAACAACTGCATTATTAACTGTTTATAAGCCATTTATAAGGGTATGTTTATTGTAAAGTAGTGACGATACAGTCATAGACACATTTTCAGAATGATGGAATTGTAAATGGCCATGTGTACAGCAACACTGGTTCATTCCTCAAGTTTAGCTGCCTTTTGTGCTTAAATATTTCGTTCACTCCTACCCTAACAGATAAAAACTGCTCTTAAACTCAGATTATAATTATTAAATAGCTTAGAGAATGGAGTATTGTACTTGTTGTTCAAAGTATTCAGAAAGAGAGACACTAGAAACTCAACTCTTGAATGTTTGACTTGTTTTTAATCCTGTCACTAGGAAGCCAGGAGGAGAAGTTGAGGATGAGAGGTCTGGTCGGCTGCTACGCCCTGTTCCAGTACCTTACAGTGAGCATCCAGGCGGCTTCGGCTGTCTACAGCCAGGCGAGGGAGCAGATGGAGGAACTGCACCACAAGCTAACACCTGAAAGGCAGCTGAATGAGACTGTTAAACCTGGCAACATCGACGCGAGCCCCTCTGCAGCTGGTTCGAGCCACACAAACAGGAGTCACGTCCATCAGTTGTCCTCTGAGCGTGAGGCTTTATCGTTGCAGCAGGTGGTGCTGCTGAGGTTCCACAACAGCACCAGAGTGTTTCCTCTGGCCACCCTGAGACAGATGCTCACCTCTGCCCTCGCCGCCTGGCCCAACAGCGCCCTCCTGTGGAGCATTTATGTTCAGGTCTGCTCCTGATCCTCACAGGGTTCAAATAAAATCAGCCATTCACGAGTGACTGAATGAGTTGTGGATTACGGACATGTGGTCTGCGTTTCAGGTGGAGAACCGTTACCATAGCGCCGGCCGGGCTCGGCGTTTTTTTCATGCTGTAACCAGAGACAGCAGCAGCGTTATACCCCGTCTGTTCGCTATTGTTGCTGAACAACAGAGGAAGCAGCTGGTGGACGCTGCTCAGAGGTAAAAAGCACAAGTAATAACATCAATTAGCTGCTTAAGACAAGAAAAACATAACCAGATGTCAACAATTTACCTCTTTATTTACTCCTTTTTATTTTGAGTGTTAAGGTTGTTTTAAGGGGAGTTTTGTGCAACAGTTTAGTCCAAATAACGCAAGTATTTTCCACGTTATTTTTAGATCTTGCTGCTTTGATAAGCCCTTGCCTGTACTGCCAGAAAACGGCCTCAGTAACCGAATCCGAGGTCTGTTCGAGAGCGCCATAGCAACAGAGACGGGCGCTCACTGTTCTTTACTGTGGAGGATGTACATCTACTTCCTGGTGAGATGCTAAGTCCATCAAAAATATCCTCTGGTTACTCTGGTGGCTTTTATGGAGGGACGTTAACCAAACTTTTTTTTTTTTTTTTAATAAATAAAGTGTGTTTTTGTTTCTTATTCATGTGCTTTTTCATAGTTGACAAAAATCCCCATTTTTTACTCAAACTTATGCAGTGACATATTTATAAATGTGGATTTATGTACTGTTTTGTGAATTTGTAGGTGTCTGAAGGTAAAGTGGATAAAGCAAGAGGGATCTTCTATAAGGCCTTGCAGAACATCCCCTGGGCCAAGGTGAGACTCCCTCATTAAAGTTGTATTGCCCCAGCAGCAGAGGATCTTTAATTTTTAAATTCCCCCTTTTTTTCCTGTGTGTTTATGTGTCAATGTAAACTTGGCCTGTGTACGTGCTCATGTGCGGATCAGGGTTTGTACATGGATGCGGCGAAGCTGTTTCCTGAGCATCTGCAGGAGTTCGTGGACCTGATGACGGAGAAAGAGCTTCGACTGAGACTGCCTTTAGAGGAGCTGGATATACTGCTAGAAGACTGAACGCCTAATTTAAGAACTTGAGCTTGCTGTGCTTGCAACAAGCCAAGCTAAGAGATCACTGTGCACATAAAGCTTCGAGATGAACGGTGAAGTTGCAGTGATCTACAAATCACTGTTATTTGTACATATTGTACTGAACTGATTTGATGATCCGGTGTTTTAATGCTTAATTTTGTCAATAAAATGTACACATATAAACATTTATGGTTTGAGTGCTGCAGGCTCTCTGTATCCCCAACTACATACATTTATAGAATCCTCTGACAAATCAATCAGTCTTTACAAATATTACATAGATTACACAAAACCACAGTTACATCATCACATAATTATCAACTTTATTGTTTTGCTCTGTCCTGTTTTGCCACTAGATGTCACTGACTCGAAGCTGTGAATGAACTACTAATGAAATGGTTCAGAACTGGTTCATTTCTTCATATGCACATCATCATGCCAGATCATAAATGAATGACCCATTCTTGCAAAATAAAGTCAGAATGAGTACACACTGCAGTGCAGAACAAAAGTGACGCTTGCTGTGCGGTTTTTGTAAAAAAAATAGTCTATAAAGACACTTTTTTCTAGAGTTTCTGTTAACTAAATTAGTATATGATTTTCCTAATCTACCTTTTAATCAAAGTTTTATAACATGTAATAATAATCCTTAGTCTTACAACCTTAATATTTTACTTTGAAAGTTATATTTTTCCTCTGTGCCTGGAAATCCCTTTGTATAATGTTTGTCATTCTCAAGCTTAGACCCTCACTTTTTTTTTTTAAATATAGGGCTGTAATTCTTGATGAGATCACCCAGGTCCAATAATAATAAAATAAATAAGTAAATGGAATATAGCATTATACTGCCTTTTGATTTAATGTTTAGTTAATCAACTTTCTATTATGAAATAATTAAATAGTGAAATTATATATATATATATATATATATATATATATATATATATATAAATCAGCTGATGATTATGCCCTATTCTATAATTGATTTTATTATTAAATCTCTTAACTTCAACAACTCTATTGTAAAACCAGTGACAGTGATCACGCTTTATGCTCTGTTATTTAAATAAATTACTTTTTTCTTGTTTATTTTCAATGTAATTATTATTTTCGTACTGGCGCACCTGTAGATCACCTGTGCGTTGTCACCTGCCCTTTCACACCCTCAACATGGAACGTTGACGCTCCCTCTCTGTCCTCATTGCCGCGCCGTGGTTTGGCGCATTGCAGATTCACTCGAGCCAATCAGCGGCCTCGAGACAATGGAGGAACATTGCGGGTCTGCTCTATCCAATCAGAACACGCCTTTTAAAAACTTAGCTAAAAAAAAAAAAACCCTACACACCTCTGTTGGTTAGAATATAGAACGTATCCTTCCGCCCTCATAAAACTGCACGTAACACAAACTAGTCCGTCACACTCAGTGTGGTCGTGTATGCATTGTGGCCACTTACGATCAAACAAACGGCTTAAAATAATAAATACTGGTTTTTTTTTTTTTTTATCATAATCGCTATAACACAAGGCTTTATCTCTTTGCTTATGTTTTAACAAGCACACTTAATACGATCTCATTTAAAATTGCATACTAGGTTTTGTGCATAGTATTACAATATACTGTACAGAATTCAAGTGTGAGTATTTGATGCAAATTTATGGTTTCTCTATAATAACATTCTTATTTATTTACAAGTCACTTGTACTAACAGTATCCAGCTGAATTAGATTATACTGTATTTTATATCTATTTGTATTTAAATACTTTACTGAATTGTAATTCAGTTTAAATTGAACCTGTTTGCTTCTGGGAGGACTTTCAGGGTGAATTAGAACGATAGAAATCAACTTAAGTGTTCAGCATGTGTAATTGCATGTCTTCTTGATGTAATATTTATTAAAAAATGAATGTAAAACAATAATGGTCCTGCATTTCCTTTAAATGCATTATAATTTTGCATTTAGTATCTCATTTCTGACCAAGTGTTAAACAGAGAAGTAAAGTTATTTTTATTTGACAAATAAACTTCTGACACATTAAACAATCTGAAGGGCTCTTATGTCACCGTTAGAAACCAGCATGTGTTTAACATATTATCAGCCTAAGAGGGACTTTGTCAATTTATAATATTTAATAAATCAAATAAATTCAGAATACTTTAATACTAAAGTAATCGACTGTAGAGAATCGACTGCCCCACGCAGTGCGGATGGATACAGTGAGCAGTGGGGCGGTAGTTCGCCTCTCTTACCCGCCTTCAGCGCGCTCTGTTCAGTGGCAACCGTCCATTTCCTTTCTGCTGTATTGCGGGCAGGCTAGTCGTTCCAGCTCACACAAACATGGTGAGTATCTTTATGTGCAGGTATTGTATCAAAATTATGTTGTCGCGACTGACAGCCAAACTGAGAGTTTTAAGTTTGCTCTGGAGGACCGTTTTAGGAACCAAATCGGTACCTCCATTGACCGCAGAATTGACAGCAGAAGCGGGCGGGCTGAATTCAAATCCGCTCAGTTTGCGGGCAAACTGCGGGACGTTGCGGAGCGCTAACCGTCGCGTTGCGGATGACAGGCTCCTGGTTGTGGGGTTACAACTGCGTGTGGTTAATGCGGTAAAATCTCGCCTTTCTGCAGGAAGTTGTGTCTGTTCCGCTGTTAGCTTCCCGGCTAACATACACCCTGAATGAATGGTTCACCAGAACAGTTTTTTTTTTTTTTTTTTTAAGATGTAGCGATAGTTGGCTTCAGGAATGCTGTATATATATATAACTGTATCTTAAGCTAAAAAAAAAAAAAGCTTAAATGTTCATTTAAAAAACATTTTTGTCTGTGAAGTCTTTATCGCAGTTGGTCAAAGTCTCCGTCATGTACCGGAAAATGCTGTAATAGTTAATGGATACCATGGCGTACAATAACAAGGCTCGTAAACCTTCACCTTAACTGCAATAAATATAATCTTAACAAGTCAAGAAGTTACTATCAGGCTGGGTTTGATAGACCAGTGGAAATGTTTGGGGTTGCCACTCCCTGCGAGACTTTACTCAAGTCTGGTTTGATTTAATCAGCTCCTTAACAAAGAATAATAGGTGTTTATCGTCTTTCTGTGGCTATTAATCCACAATAAATAGACTAAGGATCCATCCTACACAAAGCACATCATGTCTTTGTTATAAATTACCTGGCTTTGAATTTGTTTAGCATGATCCTTAATGTTTTCCGTTCATCTAACATTGAGAAATCATCTCTATTGTGTCATAATGTTACTAATAATTGAGTAATCTTTAATCCAAATGGAATGTTTGACTTTATAACAGCCAGAGTTGTTATAATTTACCTTTTATGCCGAATCAGGTGGTAAATGATATGCCTATGTAATCTAAATTAGAAACTTCTTGTATTTAACTCCACTGTAAAGGTGTTAACCAGAAATTTAATTTGCGTTTTTGCAAGCAGGATGCGTTGTCTTTCAGGGATTCATTTGCATTTGTTTAAAGCTGAAAGACTTGTCAGCCAAGCTGTAAGAATTATCAGTCAAGTTTTGGGATTTGTACACGCTCCATTCTTGGTTTGCGCTATCTGCTTCAACATGATGATTTTTTTTGGTTGAAGGTTATCTTGAAATCATTATGGACCAGTTTTTTTAGAAGGGTTGGCAACCTAATAACATCACCAGGCCACTCGCAGATCTTTGCTGTCCATCGTATCTGCTGTGACCATGTCTCATCTGCACTGCCTTGTTGTACCAAGTTGATTTTTCACCTATTAATTAATTCAAATGGATTTCTGTGCTGTAATGTCACTAGTTCAGTCGAGCCAAGCTCACCAAATGAGAAGAAGCTAAAAGATTTGGGAACCACTTTTAATTCCCAGTAGGAGTGAGGTCTGTTAAATGTGATGGGTTGTGAGGTTTAACTTTATTTTTTCAACAGTTTTACCTGGTGAGCAGATCAAAATTAATTTATAGTCAAAATGCACAACAAAGTTGGCTGTTTTCTGTAAACCTGCATTAAAACTTAAGGGGGGAAAAGTTCTGTGTAATTATGTTGCATAAACAATCTGGAATAAAAAAATGTCACTACTTGTTAAACAATGTCAAGACTGTTTTGGGCTTGTCTTATCTGAACATCTGCTTGGAATGTGCGCTCATGCTTTTTGACTGAGATGGTTTTTGTGATTACACCGGTTAGTTATTTTTCCCTGTGAGGGTTAAGTGGCTAACTTTAAATCAACAATATTTGGCCTTTTCGTGAACTTCAGCAGTAATTGGTTTCTCGCTCACTGACGCTAGAACTGTCTGAGGGTTTCCATCCATTTGATGTGACCCATGATGCTGTGTAGGAGGTAGGACGACTGGAGACCCGATCCTCTCCAGGAGCTGCAACTGTAGATGTGAGCTGACAGGCTGCAGATTAGCACATATATGTACTCATGCAGAACCTCTGTGACCCCCCCCCCCCCCCCCCCCTCCCCGGTCTGGACACTGTTACTTTCACACATTTCAAATTAATTTCCTGACATGACTGCCTACCTCCCAGCCTGACCTCCTGCCTTCTGCACACACAGAAAATGCTTTTCATCTATTGAGCTACTGCAGGAGGTGGACACTTCATCATTTAATGCGCCGTTCAGTCTCGACAGTAGGTGTCCACTTAGTGATATGGAAGGACAGACGGGGATCTCAGTGTCAGGTGCAGAGGAGGAGGAACTGGTCGTGGGAGAAAGACTGTCAGGGTTTTTAAGAGACTGGTGGATAGATGAGCGATCGTGGCAATGTCAACAGAAGGACCATCTGTTCCATCGACTTGTCATCCATCTCATGGATGAGACGCGTCAGGTCGGTCCAATCTGCTGGGACTCTTGAGAACCCCTGTCATCTTGAAAGACAAGTCTGGCAATTATCCAGTCACCTCGTCCATTTAACAATCTGCAGAGCTTCTCGACTCAATTTTTATTTATTTGTTTTTAATCTCTATAATTGTGACTATTCAGATTAAACGTGATTCTATTCTGCATTCTATTTTTTTTGGTAATTCTTGTCAATCGAGTAAGACTTGGAAGATGTCTGGCCAATATTTTTATCATCCCTTCCCGCCCACGGTAACCCACAATGGTTGTCCTTCCTGCCATTGTTCCCATCTCATGCTGCCCAACAAACTGGCCATGTACCCGGCAGAGGATGACATGGTGAGCCTGTCGACGGTCTATGACCTGTTGGATGATCAGGAGCATTACTTCTGGGAGCTGATCCAGCAGCAGGAAAGAAACTACAGAGCCTTCCTGCAGTTTTTGATGGACACCTCGTCCAGTCGCATGGACAACCTGGTCCGAGAGATGCAAGACCTGAGGAACTGCCTGCAACAAACCAAAACAGAGCTGGCAGAAGTTAAGAAACTGGGTGTACAGAACGGCAAACAAGCAGAATGTCTGGCTGAAGGCTTGGTCATGGTCCGTGGAGCACTGGATGGGCTCAGCTTGAAAACAGGAGCAGGTGGTGGTTTTGTTGGAAGAGGTCTGGATCTAAAGCAGGGCAGAGGAGCAGGAGCGCTGAAGCTAGATGGAAGAGGAGTTGGAGGCAGAGTGGCCAAAAAAACGGAACCAAAGGCTTTAAAACTGGTGGCAGACCTCACAGATATCCACTTTGAAGATTTTAAGGTTGTACACAAATAACAAAAGAATCTCAAGGTTTAGTTCGCCTCGTTTGTGGTTGAACAGTGTTAAAGTAGATAAACTGTTGTCACCACGTTCTTAACATGTCTTAAAGTATGCTTTCAAATATCAAATTAAACGAGACTAAAGGAAACTGAACCCTCAGTTTTGTTGGAACATTAAACTTGATATGGTTTGAAAGTATTTATCTTTTGTCCATTTGTGTTTAGGCCGACCAACTAACAGAAGAGCAGATTGCTGGTAAGTTGATAAAAATGTAACAACTTTAGTCTGTTTTCCTGTCGGTGTTTTTGTTTTGTCTTGTTCACCCCGTGTTTGTGTTGCAGAGTTCAAGGAGGCCTTCTCCCTGTTCGATAAAGATGGAGATGGTACCATTACCACCAAGGAGCTGGGCACAGTCATGAGGTCGCTGGGTCAGAACCCAACTGAAGCTGAACTCCAGGACATGATAAATGAGGTGGATGCTGATGGTAGGATACAGCTCGTAGAAATGGGGATAGATTGGTTTAATTTGAACAAACATTCACCTTTTGGAATTGCCTCCTCAAGGCAACGGGACCATTGACTTCCCTGAGTTCCTGACAATGATGGCGAGGAAGATGAAGGACACGGACAGCGAGGAGGAGATCAGGGAGGCATTCAGAGTCTTTGATAAGGTATGTTTGAATGATGTGATGGTTTAAAAAAAAAAAAAAAAAATCAAATACTTTTGTCAGCTGTAACGGCCTTGTGGCATCTTGGTTGATTGTAACGCATAAAATAGAACAGTAAAGCAGTTCATGTAGGAATGTACTCGCCATCTGTAGCAACGCCTACTTTTTAGGAAGGTGACCGCAGTGTTCCCCATGTCTTCTTGTTTGAGGGGGAGGTGTATTTATTAATTTATTATAAACTCGCCTGATGCTCGTGTTTTGGTCAGGACGGTAACGGATACATCAGCGCGGCTGAGCTGCGTCACGTAATGACAAACCTGGGGGAGAAACTGACAGATGAAGAAGTAGACGAAATGATCAGAGAAGCTGACATAGACGGAGATGGACAAGTTAACTATGAAGGTACCTGAAATCTGCCTCCAGAGACGCCACATTAGTACAAATCTAAACATATACAGCTAGTTATACCAAAACTAGGAACAAATCAAATTGTTTGAGTTTTTTATAAATTTGTAAGCACTTCTGATTTATTTTTTTTCTTCCCCCTTACAGAGTTTGTTCAGATGATGACCGCCAAATGAACTGAGCTCACACTGAATCAGTCAAATGTTTCACTTACCTCTTATTGCAAAAATCTACATTTATTCATGCTGTTCTGTATAGACAATTTAAACTGAATGTTGGAAAACTGAAAATTTGTCCATATTAACAAGCTCAAAAAAGGTAAAAGACAAAAAGAAGAGAGGAAAAAAAAAGAATTAATCTGCATGTTCTGGCTTGTATCCCCTCTCCTCCCCCATCGGTGCAGAGCTGCCCAATCAGATCTCAACTTGTTAGACGAGCAGCGTCTGCGCAGACGGCTGATTTGGCCACTGCTCCTCTGGTTCCACCTGCCTGAAGTCATGATGTGAATATTTGGGCCGGTCAACAGCCTTTGAGTTTGTGTTCCGTTTATTCCCCCCCCCCCCCACTTCCTTATGCATGCAACGTTAACGAGTTTTTGTTAAGATCCCGGTGACGAAAGGCTTTCTCTTTTTTTTTTTTTCTTTTTTTTTTTTGACCGTTTTGAAGAGGGTGGCCCAGTGCGACGGCGGGAGGGAGCAAACCAGTGGGATGTTCGCTCACCAAAACAAAGTCGGCGATGACTGATATTTTTATTAAAAACGGAATAAAGAGCTGATTTTAGATTGTGTTTTTTGGCATGTCAGGTTAATCACTTTAATCCTTTGTGTGTTTACCTTTTTTGAGGGCGAAGAGCCCCTTTGGCAGCAGTTACGTCTTAGACAACTGGTCGGTTCTGGTGGGCTTTAAAGGTGATTATATACAGGTACAGTTTCTGAGGCAATATCCGTATCAAACCCACACACATACCAGTATGCGTATTAATTTAAACTTTGACAGACGATTTAAAAAAAAAAAAAAAAAACTTAAATCCTGTCCAGTATATTGCCTCAAAGGCTGTGCATGTATGACTCTACGGGGGTGTGAGGTTCAGTTTAAGGGAGGATGGGGTCGGACCTTTGCAGCATTTCTACCTTGTGTTTGTGTGAGTTTGCCTGTGCGCGTGTGGATGCAGCAAGGCCCGGCCCGGTCCAGTTCAGTTGATCTGCATTCCAAGTTGTACATGCTAGTCTTTACATTTTGTTTTTCCAATAAAATGTCATGAACTAAGCTGATTTTTGTTTTCTCTTTGTGGGGAGGGGTTGATGACGTGTGTGTATAAGCCTGTTCAATGCTTAATTAAGAAAAAAACCTGAAGATGTACGGTTTCAGAAACTCAACAAACTCTAGATGTGATTGTGCAATTAATCCATCTGTTTTCTGGGGGAGTTTGTGAGGAACCCTCCAGATCGCCAAGAATGTCTGCGGATGAGACGTTGCTAGGCAACAGAAGCCTGGTCGGGATGGTTGGAGGAGAAATGGGCAGCAGAAAACCGTGGGTGTTTTGACAGTTTTAGACTCTGAAAGGGAAGGGCTGGAGATCCAGTGCTTTAACTTAAACCCCCCTGCCTGAAATAAACGATTCACGAGTGATTCTGTATATTTGTACTTCATGAGAAAAGATCTGAGACCAGAACCAGGACAGGATGAGGGCGAGGATGGAGTGTGGGAGGTGTCAGGATGCATCTCGCACTCAGTTATGTAACAGTCTGAAGTGTGTTCATATAGATTATCTATGTCAGAAATTTTTCTTAAACTAGAGTTGGAAAAGATATTTAGGACCAACAAAATATTTTTATTTTTTCTGAATTTACAGGGGATTTATTACAAAGCTCCGGAAGGGAAAAAAAATAATTTACATTAATTTAACTGAAAATGTGATATTCCAATGTAAAAGGAGGGTATAGATGGAAAAAAAGTCAAGTTATTTAGAAATGCAGAGGTTTAAGCATTAAAGAGTGAATCTATGTGATGCACCTTTTTTAATGAATTGCCTCTTGAAGCTTTACTTCAAAAAGGGTCAAATGCAAAACTTGGTACCAAGGCAAGGAGCCAAGTTAAAGTCAGCTGATTAAAAGAGGTGTTAAGTTTCAATCCTTTCTCTTAAAGGCTGGGTTTAATATTTTTTTAAACAATATGGTCAAAAAATAATTTTCCTTTTAGGTGAAACAAAAGCATTTTGTCCTAAAAACACTTTGGCACAAAATGCTGTGAGAACTGGAAGTTTTATTCCTGTCAGTAAAACCAGTTTGAGTCCTGGTGCTGACCAGAGATATATTACCTGTGAAAGGATACCTGAGCACCCAGCAGAGACCTCTGTACAGGTGGGGGCTCCAGTCCGAAACCTGTCGGAGCCATAAACCTCCAGAACAAAGGTTGACACCTGACCAGTGACACATCTGAGAGCGTAACCCACACCGCCGGCCCCGAGGGTCACGGCCCACAGGAAATACCACACAGGTTCACCTCACCTTCAGAGGACTTAAAATATCAGTTTATTTTTTAATGTTCTGGTTTCAGTCATGATTTACAGCAACAAAGACTGATCAAACTGAACCCGGCCATCCTGTCATTCCTCCCACAGCATCGCTGTCCAGACAATAGATTTATAATTTACTCAAAGAATAAACGCACGAGGAGCAATCAAATATACAACTGCGACTCCTTTTCATAACCTGTTAACAAAACAAACAAAAAAAAAAGATGCAAAGAAACATTTGGATGCGTTTACACAGAAAATTTGATTTAAAGAAAAGTATGCAACAAGATTTCTTCCACTCGTCACAAACGTTCCAGTTAATATGCAATTACAGAGTTGTGGACTTGCTCAATCCACTCAGATTATTTCAATACTGAAGAAAGTTAAGTTTATTAAGACAAAAACAGGCTGCAGGTACTCACTCTAATGGGCACAAAGCCCAATGACAGAAATCATTTTCATATAGATGGTCATTAAAAATATGTAAACGGCTGCAAACTACTATGTGCTCATTTACCTGACAATGTTTTCAGTAGAGTGGTTTGAGATTTAGAAGTCAGACAATTTTGATGCAATGGAACATATTTAAGCTTAGATTTATTCGGTAAAGTACCCATATAAAAGTATTTTGTTTATATTAAGTGCATACCTGCATTTTAAAAACCATATATCTGGAGTAAACCCAAGCAGCACCATTTGATGTAGCTCAGAGCAACTACTGTTTAGGTTCGATTTCATAGCTTGTAGTGAGCGCCATTAAAGTTATTAAATAAATCTGACTATCTGTGTGAACGCACCCAGAATTTTGGCATTTACTGACTGAGCGATCGGATCTGTCGACGTTCCGGTGAGTTCTCAGTCAGACGTACAGTAACAGAACAGCAACAAAGAATCGTGTTTCAGTAACCGAGACATTTGGCTCATCGAAGGAAATGAAACTCGTTTTTCCTGCCAATAATCTGCTTTTGTCAAAACCTTTATGTGTGCGTCTTTGGATTAAAGATGTAAACAAAACCTTTTGAGTAATGACAATCGTATTTACACAAACGCACACAGGAAACATGTTGGCACACGAACACGGAGGGGCATGCACAGACTGAAACGTTCCAACACACACAGTATGTGCAGTATTTACAGGGAGAGAAATGGCTGCACACCCGTCTGTGTGCAGGTGTGTGTGTGAGCGTCTCATAGTGCTCTGGGGATGATGGTGAAAGGCAGGATGGGGCTGCTGGCCTCCAGCTCCAAGGCAGTGAGGAAGCACTCGGTGGCGGCGGCGGCGTTTCCCTGAGCCTGCAGCACTTCGCCCAGACTGTTCCACACGTCGTGAGCCGTGCTGACAGGAGGAGAGGAGACGTTTAGAACCAGCAAAAACAAGAAGAGCAAATCTAACATCTGTTCGGATGAGAGGAAACGGCTCATGTCAATTTGAAAGAAACCTATAAACTGTTTTCTGAACTTCTTTACACTTTTCTTTGGACGTTAGCAGCTTTTCCACTCAGTTTTAGTCCTCGTATGTGACCATTTTCAGAGAAATGTTTGTTTAGCTACTCAGCCGTTCATGAGTAAAAGTTTCCTAAACTGACGAGATGAGCCAGCGTTGTGTCGACACAAGACAACCAAACATATTTTTAGGCTCCTTATGAGTCAATAAAAGCTATTAGTTCACAGGATGTGCTGTGTGAAATAAAAAAATCTGGTAAAACTGAACACAAAGGACGGAAGATGCGTAAAGTTAAAAAACACCTAAAGCTGAATGAGCAGCATATGTTAGTAAAAGGTAAAGAGAGATTCAGCCGCCCACCTGTTGACCTGCACGGCGTCCCTCAGGACTTTCTCAGACAGACTGTAGCGCTGCAGCTGGTGCAGAATCAGACCCTGCACAGACCCACAAACATGTTTTAATGAATGACTCAAATGATCTTTTCATGGCAACTTTACAAATATTTTCACCTTCCTGCACAATTCCAACCATTACAATATCACCAGCTGACCTTCAGGCACAAATTCAAGTAATTGGGTCTTAAAAATATGAAAAGCTTCCGTAGTGTGCGTTTTCTCTAAAACGCAACATAAACAAGTTCCTGTTTCTTTGAAAGAATTTGCAATCAGATCATGTTGGTAAACGAAATGCGGCTTGAAACTCTCAGCTAACAGACATTTGATCATAAGTACAGCTAGTGTTTTTCAAAAAATTCAGCTCGAGAACAATTGCAGGGAACGAGAGGCTTCAGGAATCCCACTGGAATTCCTCCAGGAATTTTTTTCTAGTCTGGATTTGTTTGCCGGCAGCATCCAGGCGTCAACACCGTAATCAGAAGCTGCGAGTATCAAATTAGAGACAGTGGATCGCTTCATCTCAGAGAGGTTATAAACCGTCCCAGAGGATTCTGGGTAATTATACAAAACGTGCAAAGCCTCAGGAGGACAGTGAATGTGTGTTTGTCGTCTCACCAGCCTCTGCATGGTCTTGACGTGGGTGGGGTTGATGGACAGGGCCTCTTCGTACCAACGTTTGGCTTCATCCATGTTGCCCTTCAGCTCGGCGATCTGCCCCCTCATGTACAGAACGTTGTGGGATGTGGGGAACAGGTTGGCTGCTTCCTGCGTGCACGCCGTGGCCTCGGTGGGCTTCGACATGCCGATGTACACCTCGGCTGTCGGATGGGCGAAACACAACAAATAATTAGGGAAAACTAAAATATATGCTTTGGTTTTAGCAAAATGTGCAATGGCATATTCATTTACCGTATTTTTCAGACTATAAGGCGCACTTAAAATCTAATTTTCTCAAAAATGAACAGTGAGGCTTATAATCAGGTGTGCCTTATAGTCCAAAATATACGGTAACCAAGCGCCAGTTTTTTTCGTCTGCACTGGTCTGTGTTAGCAAAATATCAAACCACTGGATGATTTTAATGAAACTTTTAAAGTAATCATTAATCTACAACTCATTAGCCTTTGGAAAAAATGGACTTAAAAATGGGTCGCTACAGCTAATCCAAACTAGCCAACACAAAAGTGGCTATAATTCGGTCAAATGGTGTGGTAGTAGCTGAGAGTCATCCTCAACACATGCTATGAGCGCTAACACATCTCATGACCAGAACGACTGTAACTTTGTCTTTTAGCATCATGAGATGACCTTTATTTAAAACTCCATCGTGACAGGTGGTGGATGAAAGGTCTCGTAAAACTCAGCCCTCATTTTCTACAAAAGCAAGTGGACTGACGCTCCACAAACACATGCTCCACCATATCCTGGACATTTTTGTCCACAAAACAGAGACAGAATTAAAACAAACAAATCAGGGTCAACCAGATGAGCGTTTTCTAACTAACCCATCTAAAGCTTTCATTGTTTCTGAGTCCACAAAGGAGGCAGAGGAAATGAGCTCTCCCTCTGTTTGTCCTCTTTAATTTGCTGATTACATTAGCTGTGTCGCCAAGCTGGAAATGACCGCCCGACGAGAGGAAGCAGCTGCGCAGATAAACTGCAGCACAAACGTCCTCTGTCCGTGTGTGTTTACGTGCGCTGCCTTGCATCTGTTTATGCGCTCTCTCCGCTCCGTTTACGTTCGTCCGCTGCTGATGCAGAAAGAAGAACCACGGCTCCACAGAGCTGAGAGGGAAATATAATACGCGTATATCTAACCAGAGTGCTCTCAGGAAACACAGGATCTGATGTTCCCAATATTGTGAGATCACACGTGAGCTTGAAGTATGAGTTCAGGAGGACCCTCAGCTACTACCGTACACATTTTAGCTTATCTGTCAAATTAGTGGAGTTGTAGCCATTTTCTGTTTGCTTATATGTGGAAGCCATCTTGAATTGGGTTAACTTTCAGTTAATCAGTTGTAGCTCTACATCCCATGATCACTCTCTAAAAGTTTAGTTAAAATCCATCCAGAATAGATATTTTGCTAACAGACACACACAAGACAAGAAAAAAAAAAAAAAACATTATAGTCTCTTGCATGGTTTATTCCACCATTTTACTCTAACTTGAGGTGTTGTAATCTTCTTTGGGGTTTGTTTGTCCATAAGAGAGATGCTCATATTGAGAAATTTTCAAGTAATCTTAAATAATTATCAAACTGTCACTAGATAAAGACTCTGTGTTAGTTTTAACATTCATGAATCCTGTCGGGGAAAATATTTCACATTTATAGATTTTAGTAGAAAATTCAGTTTTCTTCACCTGACTTCACTGAACCTTAAATATGAAGTGTACAAGTACTTTTAGCTGAATGTTTTGTATTATAATGCAATAAAAAGATGTGTATACAGCTAAAACCAAGCATCTAAAATATTGAAAATACATTTTTTCCTCTCCCATTTTTCTAATTTCAAATATTCGAAGGTCAAAACAGTGTTCGAAATATAAATGACAAATATTTAAACATTTTTCTGCAACATTCTTTTTCTTGGAAGCTGAAGAGTTTTGACCTTCAGGTTTGTAAAGCCAGACGAACTGCAGCACACAACGACGTTTATAAAATATCAGGCAGCTGCAGGACCTGAGGCAGAGACATGGCAACAATGGGACGCTAATTATTTTTGAATAAAACTCAAATATGAGGATGTTTTATTCAAACAACCAGAAGACAGTTAAGATGCGTCATAAAATGTGATATTAACGCGTCAAACTCTCAGATAAGATGCTTATACACTCAGACTCAAATGCTGTGTGAGCTGAGCCTTAAGCTGGAAGTGATTTCTGAGAATCGCAGGCCACTTGTGGTTCCTGAAACTCGCTGGCGGGAAGGAATCAACCTTGGAGAAGCTACAAGCTCGGCCCGGCGATGCTGACCACAAAATTTGGCTGTTTGGAGTCGCCATTGAGACGTACCAGTAGAACTACTGTATAAGGCAGACAGGAATCAAACAGTCGGCCTGACCCCAAATTACTGTTGTTATTTGCGTCTGGCTCCCTCGTGTTGGCCTTAAATTGGCCAACTATCTCAAACTCTCTTGGATGTTATGTGAACAAGAAGCTCTGCTCCCTCCCCTACCTGCTCCCTTCCCGAGGACATCTGTGGACCTGTATCAGAGCTGAGCCGGCTGATAGACACTGCACCATCTCTAATCAGGACTATGGAACTATCTGGAAGTCCACGGACAACTCATCGCCTTCGTCAGCCTTCCTCATGCATAAACGTATTATGATGTCATCAGTATGTTGATGTTTCTGTGCGGAGGGTGTTTTTTTCTTTTGTTGCAATTTTCACACTGTGTCCTGTCGAGGACATAGTGCAAGAGATAAGAACTTTTTTTTTTTTTACACCTCCTCTTCCCTTGTTTCTCTTTTCCTTATCTAAATGAAAAGAGGCAGCGCCTCCCTTGAGGCAGCAGCCTCAGACACCTCCGTCTCCCCACGTCTGTTTGTTTATGTTTTTCTCAGACGGGCTGTACCGAAATGTAATTTCGTTGTGCTTCAGTGCATTGACAATAAAGCGGTCTGATTATACATTGCTTTTTTCACCTGCGTGAAGCCAGATCTGAGCCAGCGTCATCCAGGGGTGCAGGGGTCCGTGTTTAGGGGCGCTGCTCTGCAGGGAGGAGGCGACCTCCGACAGAGCCTGCTCCACTCGACTGGCTGCGATGGATGTGGCGTGAACAGAACCTGCAGGATGAAAAATCACACCGTTACGCTTGTGCTGTCGCCCAGATCGTCCGATTTTCTGCAGCGGTGTTAAACAGACGTGTTTTATGAGGGTTAAAGCCGGCAGCAAAGCTCAATGAACACCATAACTTTAATAAAAACAAAGTGTGTGGCGTTAGGCTGCAGTGAAAGGCATCTCACAGCAATAAACACTGTTAACGTGCTGGATCAACCAGGTCAAAACACTCATGCAAAAGTGGCTAACAGAACTTGGACATCTTGTCTGATTATTATGGAGCCCAAACAAAGTCAAATGATTAGTTTAGTCAGACATCCTGTTTTGAGCTACATCCAAGTTTAGAGCTGCTTAAATACTTTCCCTCTCTACTTTTTCTCCTTTTTTTAGTTTGGATTTAGTTACCTACATGTAAAAGTCAAAGAAGATTATAAAAATAAAGAGCTCAGGATGTCTATGGGAGCAAGAATAAAAAGGAAGAAAGTGTTTCTGATTAGAGGGTTTGGGGAAACGATACAAGGACGTCTCATTTGGTCGACGCAAACACTTAAAGCCCGTTTTGGGTGGAGACAGCAGCAGCAGCAGTAGGTTTTACAGAAAAGCTGTTTGTTGTTTAAATTTAGGTGTTCTTTAATGCAATACAATGGTGGTTTTCTAATATTTTCTAATTTAGAATAAAATTAAATAAAAAGTTGTAGTGCACCAGCTGGTGATCAGTTTGCATTTATGTAGTAAATGGTTAAATTTTAAAAGATTCTCAAGATAAAACAAAATAAGGGCAGGTTTACGTTCATAATAAATCTAAGAATCCGTTTTCTGCTTGACCTCGTTTTCTTCTTTAAAGAAAATCTGAATTTTACCTTTAGTAAAAACGATGTTTTAAAACATTGTTCTGTCATTTTATTCATATGTTTGTTTAGATTGTGAATATTAGAGAGCAGTTTTCTAATTTAAAGACATGATTATTATGTATATTTGTATAATGAGAGGATCTATGGGTTGGGGTCATCAAGAACGATAGTTGGGGATTAGGTCTAAAAAAATACAACCAACTTGCCAAAACTGTTTTAAAAATGCAGATTCAGTCCTTTAGCAGTAGATTTGTAAAATGACTGACATGAATTAATTTTTGCTTCATATACCAAAAAAAAGGGGTGACTAATTCAATTTTACACCTTTTTAAAACTGATTTCACTTAAAAATTGAGTGCATGCTTTTCCCCTCAGCTCCAGAACTAAGTTTATATTTGCAGCTTATTTATTTACTAAAAGTCAATAAAAATGAAAGCAACATAGAGACGGTATTATTTTGATCGAATAAAACGATCTTAAGAGATAAATTCATCCTAGGAGCCATAATTTGTTCTCCTCCTCTGTGGTTTATCATCAGACTATCGTGACACTTTCAAAGATAACTATTGATCAGTGTTGTGTTCAAAGATAATATTTGTGAGAATTAAAGTCACATGTCAGAGATTCACAACCAGGAAGCTGCTTCTTGTTTTCCTTCAATCATTTGACAGCTTTTAAAGGAAAACTCCCGGAAAATATATTTTTCTTAACACTGTGCTGAACTTCCTTTTATATTGTATTAAAAAAACAATCTGCACAACTTCTGGAACACTTCAAACGCTCATCTTTTAGGTGACTTTGTGCATTTCAAAGTGACAAAACGCAAAGAACGTCCACTTTATCCCCGTTTCCTTCCTGAAAGTGGCTGCAAATGTTGTGGTAAAGCAGAAAAAAAAACATTTATCCATGAACTGCTTGAGGAAAAATGAGGTAAAAGTGAGGTAAGCAATGAACGAAGAGGGGTGGATGGAAGAAGGAGGTTAGATGGCTACTTACAAACAGAAAATATGGAGGAAAAACCAAGAGTGTTAGCGTCCTGAAGGCCGCCTTGGAAAGAAAAAATAAAAACGGAAGGATGGGAAAAAAGATGACTGTTAACGACTGAAAGAGGAAAAACAGAAGAAACCCACTTTTAAAAATGAAAAATCATAAAATTATTTACAGAAACTCTTTAACCCACATCATAACACACAGCCTTATAAATAAATAAATGTTCTCTAAGCAGGTGAAGTTACACATAAACCTTAACGAACGTAAAGAGGATAGCATTTCTCTGCTGCTTTGTTAGTTCACAACTACAATAAAAAATCTGACTTCTATTTTAGATTTTCGCACATTATTTTAACCGACAAGAGGAAAACTGTTTATACTTTTAGATGAAAAATAAACATAAAAATGCTGCCAAGCTGAAGACGGACTTCATTAAATGTTTGGAGGAATCATCTCATATTTACCGGTCAATGCAAACATTTTCAGAGGAGATGAAAACACAAACGGACGTTGGAACAAAACGACTAAATAAATAAAAAACTAAATAAGTCTGAAATGAAAAATTTCACAGGAAAATAAATATTTGGAGCGGTTAGAAAAACAGGAAACACGTGAAGGTAAAGGAGGAAACACGACAGCAACTATTTTTTATGAAAATCTGTAAACTCAACGCTGGACGGACTCTGGATGTTAGACTTAAACAGTCGTAAACATGTTTTTATTACATATTCAATATTAAAGTTTTATTCTGTTAAACTATAACAAGTTCTTCTTTGCCATTTTCCAATTAGTTTAGTGAGTTTACCAGCTCTCAGAGTTTGTGTTTGTGGATCACCCAACACCAGTTTGTGTTCCTAAAATAATCTGCAGATATTAATTTAGATTTTAAAAATCAGTTTATGATAAATTTTCATCATATTTATCACAAAGAATAAAACAAGTAGTTGCAAATGTAATAAAATAGCATTGTGGATGTGATCGTTGTGCATTTTTAATGGTGCCATTAGAATTTATTTATTTATTTTAACAGCAATTTACCAAAGTTTGATGGTTCAGGAGCTAAAAAGTTTGGAAATCACTGCTTTTATTGTTTTGGACTTAGTGACAGAAGGTTCAAAGCTTGGCCATAAAATAAAAATATTTATTTGAGTAAAAAGGTGGATCTTTGGGAGTCTTCACTGCGCCGCTGTAACATCAAAACTTCAGTGTAAAGAGTTAAACCATCTGCGGTTCAAATTATTTCTTCTATCAAATCACGAGTTCGGCAGATGGGAACATTTGAAACTCCCATCATGAACGAGGATCCTTCAGAAACAGCTTGAAGGATTGTTGACACCAAGAACAGAGCAGAAGTGTAGGTTGGACGATGAAGAGTGGGACGGACGGTTACTGTGAAAGCTTGATGACAAATTTAGAAACTTGCAAGAAGAATTCTGATTTGCTCAATCCCCCTTTAGATCACTGAAACTAGTTGAGGGGGTGTAGGCTAAACTCAGGAAAACAGGGAAGCGTACATTTACAACCGTACTCAGAGGTTTACAAGAAGAAAACTGAACAAGAGCTCAACAGACGTAAAGAGCACAGAGGTGTGTGTCGAGAGATGCTAACACACTTCAGGTGAACAAAAGTTGAGCCAATTCTAGATTTATTCTCGGACAAAATGTCACAAACCGCTTCTCCAAAGCACCTGATTAGTTGCAGACTTATTACTAATCAGACTGTTGCTCGGTGTTGTGTAATCTCTGAGATAGAAATGGGCGAGAAATGAAAACGTTGTTTGTTAAAAGGCTCAAACCTTCAGCTTTAAGCAGTCTGATTAGGTGGCTAAGCTTCCTACCGTTGCATCAAACGTGCAGCTGCTTCACAATCAGACCCTTTGTTATTACATTACTTAGCAACAGAGGGTTTAGTGTAATATTAACGCAACGTCTTTATTGCACTCTGTTGTAATTACACTACAGATTTTAACCTAACGAACGAGACTAATCACGAGCCAAGAGTGGATGATTGATCCAGTGTTTCCTGCTAGCAGAAAGTTGGATGTTTAAAGGTTCAAAGTTCAAGGGTCCTTCATCACCTGCAGATCTGATTTACAGTAAACCATTCTGAACGTGTCATTAGCTGAAATATTGTAAGGATAAAAACTACCTGAACAAACCGAGCGGTTCGGTAAATCTGAGCTCCGACTGAAGCAACAAACTCAAATCCTGAAGGGATGATTGGATCAGCTAAAACAGATCAAACTTGCTTCAAAAACCTCTTTATGCAGGTCAGTGACAATAAATAGAAGTGGCACACCTTAACAAAACACTGCAGGTGATTAGTTTATGAATATGACCCAAGACAGTAAATAAAGAGCTAAAAAAAAGGAACATTTTGACAAAATTAATTAGGTTACATAAAACGTGATGTTTGTATTGTTGCACAGTTTAACAGTCAGATTATTCAACACAGAGGAAAAATATAAAGTATTTTTGTCTAAAATCAGCATTGCGGTAAAACCTTTTAATTTTACCGCAATGTTGTTTAAAGAAGACAAATTACAAGTGAATTACCATCTTGTGGCAAAAAGGATCAAATATGTTGCAACAAAAATAATAAATTTCAACAACAGAGCACTTTTTGATTCGATCACACAAAGGAGCTTCCACTTCATACTAATAAGGTGCTAAGAAATCCGATGATAAAGAGACTAAATATTTTACGGAGTTCAGAAACAGTTTATAGATTTTACACCTGAATACAGTAAATGTTAATCATTTTAATGAATTTGTATGGTCAAATTTTTCTTTAACGACTAATTCAACAGGTTTACATCTAATGACGGACATGAAATAATTGAACGTACGGCCGGGATTAACTCGAAATACAACGTTAAACATGCAAATCCACCCCCACCCCCCGAAGCGGTTCCACGTCACTCTCCACACCATGCTACAGACTGAGAGTGCACAAAGGCAGATTACGGTTGGGGGGCTGACGCAGAACGACGTGGTTGCAAAATGTCTGAGTCCTGGTCTTGATGGGTGGAGGAGGAAGAGGAGGAGGCGGGGCAGGAGAAGGGAGGGAAGAAGTGTTCCAGGTTGGAGAGGGAATAGTAGGAGGTTGGAAAGTAAAGGAGGGAGATGAAGGGGAGGACATGGCAGATGGGGAGGTGGGGGAGACCGGTTCGAAACCAGAGAGAGAGGAGGAGGAGCCTGAGACTAAAACAGGAAGTAAAACAGAAAAAAAAAAAAGTCAAATTAATCAAGAAATGAGGGAAAAAAAATAGAGCAGACGTGTGTGTAGAGAATATTTGCGAATGATTCAGGGGTCGTTTGGGGTTTTGTGATCCAGTTTTTGATTTCCTACCGGTCTCGGGGTCACTGAAGTCCGGCAGAGTCATGGCGTTGAGCTGCCGTCTGTCTGCGATGGCTCTGTCCAGCAGGCTGCTGCCACGCCCCGAATCACTGCCACAAACACAACACGCCGACGTAACGCACACAGAACAAAAAGCTCTGGTGTGACTCGCTAAACAAGTCGAACTAAAACAGGTTGAGCCTTTAGTCGCTCAGTGATCCCTTTGTTAAGGAGGAAAAAGTTATTTGAAGAGATGTGTAGAACATTACATCCCACCCACATATGTACATTATAAATAAAATAGTCACGGATGAATTCAGGAAAGATTTACACACAGTCCGTTAATTTAGAGGTCTTTACGACTTAAGAAGCCCGAACTGCTGCTAACGCTGAAATCTGAGTTGGTGTTTGTGAAAATGGAGCTGAATTTGTGTTTGGAGAGCACCTGAGCGCACCTGGGGTTTGTTAGGTTGTAAAAGCTTTTCCAGATCTGCAGCATGTGTTTACAGGTGAGCAGAGCTTCTTCTGGTCCTCTACACATCGCCTCCAGCTTCACCTTGGTGTACAGCAGGCTACACAACACACGCATATGGTGAGATCATCTGCCGCTTATTCGGTTAAATAGAGATGTAAAATCCTGTGTGCCTCACTTGAAGTTCTCTGGATACTCGGACAGAGCCATCTCGATGATGTTCAGGGCGTCGTGGTAATGTTTCTGAGCAGAGAGAAGCAGGGCCAGCAGGTGGAGGGAGTGGACGTCGTCTCCTTGGAGCTGCAGCGCCTGTCGGACATAACCTAACGCCTCGGGGATCTACACACAAACACACATGCAAACTACAGGTTTTCACTAAAGCTGGGATAAAACACAGCGTGCCCCATCAAAGAGAAGCAACTCCTAGACGTCTTGAGTTTAATATTTTGTTGCGTTACCTGTCTGGAAACAGCAAGCTGCAGAGCCAGATAGAAAGCAGCGAGATGGTCAGTGGGAGTCAGACTATGAGCTCTGCAGACGAGAAGAGGAAACACAAGTTTCATGAACTTTAGACAGAACTTTAAAGATCACAGGTCGTGAATGAACACATCCAATCCGAACCTCTGGAAGGCTCCCAAAGCTTTCCTCTGGTACTCCTCCTGCATGCTCCGCAACGATGCTGAAACATGAACAAACAGAAATGAACCTTCAGATACGAGCAAACAACCATGAGAGCACGTTTTAACACACAGGGCGGAACAGAAATGGATATGCAGTTTGTAAACAACAACGACGACACAATGAACAACTATAAGATAATTTGAGATATGAACTTTTTTCAGACACGTTTTCTGAAATATCCGTCTTCAAGGTAAAAGCACCAGAACAGCACCGTAAAATTACAAAATGAAGTAAAACCTCAACGTAAAATTCTTACTTAAAGCCAAAGCAAATGCAAATAAAAATTAGAAATTATTTATTTATTAACCTTTATTTAACCAGGCAAATCCCACGGAGATCACAGGAGAGGCCTGAAGGCAGACTAACATGCATGTTTTTGGTCTGTGGGAAGAAACCGGAGTACCCGGAGAGAACCCACGCAAGCCCGAGAAGAACATGCAAACTCCACACAATAAGACCCCAGATCCAACCGGGGATTGAACCCAGGACCTTCTTGCTGTGACGCAACAGTGCTAACCACTGAGCCGTCGTGCTGCCACTATAATAATATTATTAAAATCTTGTTAAATATTATTAATAATAAAAATAAATAATATAAAGTATATAAAGTAATAAATAGTAATTAATTAATTAAAGTATGTAATAAAGTATATAATAAAGCAATAATAAATAAGAAATATTGTTAAAATCTGAACTGTATAACTTTAAACCATTGGCCTGATTTTATATTTACTTTATGGTTTCATTAAAGATGATCAACATTGGGTTATATGAACAAAAACAACATAAAACTGATAACCAGTTAATTTTGACCGCTTCTCAAATGTTTATTCGATATTAAAATATGTAAACATTCTGGAAAGATCATTAAGGAGATGCTTAAAGGAAAATTTAAATTATATAGTGGAGCTGAATTAACTCTGCTCCTTGTCAGGCAGGGCGGCAAAAAAATGAAGCTCATCATCTATTCTGCAAAATAATGCAGAAGAAATTTTAATTTGACGTTTTCAAATAAGCGCGGTAACAAAAGTGTATCTTAAAATATTTTAATTTAGGCAGAGAACTTGTGTAAATGTTCTGTGTTATCGAAACATCCGAGCGAGCGTCTCATTGTGTATGACTGACCGTCGGTGGCTTTGAGGCTGTAAACCAAACCGATGGCCAGGTAGCCTTTGGCTCTGAATTCAGCCGCCTTCTCTCCCATGTCGATCACCAACTTTGCAAAGTTTTCTCCTTCGTCCAACTGAAATTTGAGAACAGGAAAATGTGGAAAGATAAAAAGCTGTTCGTTTAAACACGTTAAAAGACAAAATGATGTGTGTGTTTAACAGAGAGCTACAGATTCAATCAGCCCTCGTTTCTGTTGAGGTTAACGAGTTGTGTGTGGTTCTGACCCAGTGCAGAGGTCCGATACACAGTTTGACAGCCAGCAGCGGGATGGTTGGGTCTTCAGGCTTCAGGCGGATGCACTCCTTGAGGACTTTGACGGCCCGAGCTGATTTGCCGGCTGCCATTAGCGACAAGGCGAGCTGGTACCACAAATGGAACTCCTCGAAGGCAAACTTCATGGCTCTCTCCAAACACTGAGGGAGAGGGGACATTTTCCTGTTTTTATCACCAATCTTTATAAAAAACACTAAGATGGAGAGGGCTGTTTACCTCAGACAGCATCTCATACTGCCCCCTCCTGCCCAGAGCTATCGTCAGCAGGTCGTACACCACGGAGGCAGACTGCAGGCTGATGATCCGATCATTGTTGTGCTCAGGAATCCTGCTCAGGACCGCATCACGATTAGCCTGAAAGAAGGACGAACAAGCGCAGATGTAGAAGTAAAAGCTGCATGAGCCTCATAATCTGCGATTTCACGGTTTCTTACCATGGACTCACTGATGAGCAGCAGCAGCAACGCTTCCTCTGTGTTCTCCTGAGGGCAAAACAAACTGAAACACAGCAGGAAAAAAAAAAAAAGCCCAGTTAGACATTAATGAGTGGGACAGAAAGTAAAAATGTGCTGCTAGTAAAAAAAAAAAAAAAAGACACCAGAACCTTATTTTAATCTAATTTTGCGTCTCCATGGTCACTTACTTTTCTCCCGAGTACACTCGCGGGCGTCGGCTCAGTTTGTAGCTCTTGCTGTAAGTGTGTCGTTGCTGTGTGGGATTATCCAGAGGTGACACCGTTGGTGGATCCTCCAGAGGAGACCAGTAACTCTGTTCACACATTCCTCTGAGCAGGATCTCTGCCAGCTGGCGCGCTATGGTCTACAAACACAAAAGCACCGAATTACTGAAGACGTTCTTTAAACCAACACAGCAGCAGTCTGTTTACTTTAAATATACATGCAGATATAGATATTTTGCCATTAAGTACAAACTAAATGTGCCATTTCAGTGCTGTTCAAAAGTCTTGAGCCATCCCTCATTATTACCCATGTCGGCCAGTAACCAAAATATTTATTTTAATGAAACTTGCAAAAAGGAGTCAATATGGCCACAACAACTAATTGACAGTAGCCAACACAAACATGGCTATAACAGTCAATTTGACAGATATTAGGCTAAAGTTTGATGTGGTTTTAGCCGAGAGTCATTCATGAGACAAACTCCAAGCGTGACGTCTCGCAATATTGTGCCGTTTTCAAGGTTTGGCCAAATTTGGTGCATCACTAGGCCTGTCGCAATAAACAATAAATCAATTAATCGCATGATAAATGAAAATCATATACCTCATTTTCATTTATCAGCTTTATTGTTTCTTCGTCTCTCTCTTTCTACTGAAGACACTGGATGACAAAAGGCTCAACTCCGGCGCTCTTCACTGACCCCTCCCTTTCTCTTTTCACTTTAAAATCCATATTAATGAGCCAAAATTGCGTTTTTGGATCGTTAAAAGCAGCTAAGCTGAGAAGCTAAGCTACGAGCTAAGCCAACAGGCCGACCTCGGGAAAAAGTTCCGTCTTGTTAAAGCTCCAAAATTCACGGTTGAAACCCCTGCCTTCGTCTAAAAAGTTGTTTTTCTCTGCAAAAAGAAGCTGAGAACTTGTTTACTGATTTTTTATTAAAAGCTTTGTGTGAAAAATGCTATGCTAAAGAGCTCAAACCGCACCGAGCGTCAGCCATTTTGAGAACCAAGAGACAGCCCGTGTCACATCAAGGGGCCTCCCTCCCATTTTTTCTTAAAGAGACACGCTGCTCCCTCCCTTACTATCCATCCTTCGGTTCAAACAGTCTTATACTACCATCCGGTGGTTCTTAAATTTGACAATAATTGCTGATTATTGTCAAATTTCAAACAATATTATCGTTTATCACAATAATTTCTGAAACAATTAATCACCCAGCAAAATATGTTATTGTGACAGGCCTATGCATCACTATTAGTTCTCAACACAAGATCATTTAGTTTAAACAGTAATGCAACGATGGTGTTGTATGAATCAAGAGGAGATAGTCACATCTTTTAGTTTGAATTAATCCAGTCATTTAGAAGAAATCTACAACAGATGGTTAAAGCCAAGCGAAAATTTAAAAAGCCTCATCTGCTGAGTTATTAAAAAAAATATACAATCACTCTTACAGAAGGCATAAATATCAAACACTCCGATAGACATCCTCCTCACCATGCGAAGGTTCTGGGTGGTTCTGGTCTCAACGGCCCGAAGAATCTCTCGAAACCTGCCCACGCCTTGCGTCAGGTTTCTACGGCAGAAAAGAGACACAGAAGAAAAAAAAAAGGAAGTATTCAAACAGTGCAGTCAGGTTAAAATCAAAGTGCAGAGTCTGAAATCTCTGTAAAATCACTGTAAACGTTCAAAAGTCTCAGATCTTTGATGCTTCAGGAACGTAATAAATGTTTCTTTTTAAACTTCGAACTTGTGTTACTTGCTGTACTGAGCTACATCTTATCCTGATTTTAGATGCTGCATAAGAACAACAATCGAGCTACAGAGGCAGATTTAATGTATTTCACTAATTTTATCCAGTTTTTAACAGCTGCTCTAACACTGAAGCTAATCCGAATGATCTTAAAACCACACAAGTGAGGGAAACACTTCGAGCTGAAATGTGCGTATTAATTAACTGCGTTCACACTCCATCCACCCGTAAGCAGCTTTGTAACACCACAACTGCAAAGTGGGAGGAAAGCGTCCACAAAGGGTCTCTCAGTCCTGCTGGGAAAACGATGATCCAGAACAGAGCGATTTACGTTTCTTTCCTTAGTTGCCTGTTTTGTTTATTTGTTGTGTTTTGGGATCTGACGTAAAGGCACATGAATACGCCACTTGTTTATTTGGTTATTTACCCGTTCTTGAAGTGGATGACGTGTGCCCTCTGTAGGCCGGTCTCCAGGAAGTAGCCCAGCTCCATGTCTTGTGTTGTTGGTCCGGGCTTTGGGCTGCGGTTCTGAATCCCTGCTGATAACGCCTACAGAGATAAAAATAAATAAATAAAAATGTGAACAGAAAAGAGAGACAGTTCTGCGTAATTATTTGCCAAAAAACAAAGCAAACACCACTTTTGTAAGAAATAAAGCGAACAGTCCAGGTAATGTGTTAATGCAGCAACAAAGAAAAGTGCCTGCAGTCTTATTTTTACAAACTAGATTTTAAATAATATAATGACAGCTCTATAAGTTTTGGTCACAATTTTAGACATTTTCTACATTAAAAGCTTTGAGTAAAGCCTTTATAATTCAATATATTTACATTAAAACACCTGAACCTGAACTGGTGAACATAAAAGGATGCAGATACTTTCCCTCAGCTTCTGATTAAGCATTCACTTGTTTTCCTGCGTGTGTTTTTGCAATTTAACAGTGTGTTATTTATGCAGTTCATGTATCAAAACCTTCATCTCATTCAGGAAATGGGAGCAACGACTTTTGGTTTATGAAACTTTCACTTTATTTTCTGATATTTTCCACATAGAAATACAGTAAGACACATTCAAATCATTGAAAACATTATTCTTTTTTTAAATATGCTTCAGTGGATTTGCTCTGTTTGTCTTTTTATACTATTTTCAGCTTTTTAGTGACAGTTTTGATTAGATTTTTTGTTTTGATTTTAGTATCTAACCAGCTTTTGGCTACTTAAAGGCTTAGCTGCACCTTTGCAGCTTTTATCTAGGATTTTGCTAGATTTACATTTTTTTTGTTTGTTTTTACGTTAGTGTTTTGTTAATTTTAGATTTTAACTACACTGTTTTTTTTTTTTAGCTTTTGCGTAGTGTTTTGATACTTTTAGCTTCTTCAGTAAATTTCAGCAGAATTATGCATGCTGCATTTTTGCAAAAATCAAACAAACAACTTATTTAGTTTGAAATATTTTGTTAATTTCTGTTTCTATAATTGCATTGCTATTCCCTCCTCTGACGTAGTATCTAGTCTCTAATTATTTTAGGTAATGCATGTAACATAATAATACTTAAAGCAGGAAACTTTTGATTTGTCTCCACTTTTGTTGTATCACTGCTCCTTAAGTACAGAAGAAGAAATGTTTGTTTGTTGGCTCTGGTGACCAGAATCACATTAACAGACTATTTATCACACTCCCACCAGGACAGCACAATGCTTCCAGGCACTAACAAGATATTTAGTGAGCATCCGTGAGCCAAGTTCCTCAGTTTCACACCCTCAAGCACAAACCTTCTCAGCTTCCTGCAGGTAGAGCAAAGCAATGTCTCCAGACTTTTCATAGCAGGTGATGATTTCCTGATCTCGATCTGTTACGCTCCGATTAGATGCCGGAGACCCCGTGTTCTTATTGGACAGAGACGGAGAGGCAGCCGGGACCTTCTCTAGACACAAGCCTGGGGGTTGGTGAGAAAAATATATTGATCAAGACAGAAGCCATGAGTTGATTGTAATAGTCTGATATTAATCTAACACGTTTGGACACTGGGGTTATTATCACCGCTTGAAGCTGACAAAATCAAATTAATTTAAGCCTCACAATGTTAATAAGACCTAAAATGTTACAATTTAGAATTAATTCAGTTCAGAAAAATTCCTGCTGATGATCAGCTGTGACACTCTTCTGCCACCAAGTGGACAGAACGGGTACTACAGATGAGTGAAAACTGGATTTGAGACATCACATATTAATTTAAAGGTTGTAAGACACAAAAGATGCAGTTTTTAGTGTGTTGTTATGTACCTTTGGTTGAATAAGCCTCTGCAATGATGGACAACCTGTACACAGGAGCTCCAACCAGCTGCAAGTCATCCAGATTCACCTTGTTGTAGTGACCTGGAAAAATACCGGTTTTCCTTTCAGTTGCAGCTGTGTGCAGGAGTAGAAACACTTTTTATTTCTATTTTGCTTTTAATGAGTTCAAATTTTAGTATTTTTTAAAGTAGTCTTGATCATCAGTTCTCTAACATTTCAAACTACTATCTCCGTCTTCTGCCGCTTATCCGCAGTCGGCTCGCAGAGGCAACAGGTCCAGGAGAGAAACCCAGACATTGCTCTCCAACCCCAGCTCGTTCTAGAGGAATCTGAGGCGTTCCCAGACCAACATATTCCTTCAGTAAATTCTGGGTCTTCTCTGTAGGAAGTACCAGAAAAAAACTATAAAAGGGAGGCGTCCTAATCAGGTGCCTGAACCACCTACTAGTACTGGAATAAAGATATGTGAAAAAAGCAGCAAAAAGTCTGATGATTATTGATGTATAAACAAATCGATTGAACGTTTGTGTTTTGGGGACAAAAATCAGACAGTGAGAAGGTACTAAGGTTTAAAAAACTCAGTGAAGATTACCTAAAGCATCTTTATATTCTCCTTCCACATAGCAGAGTTTGGCCATCAGCAGACTGGCCTCCTGGAGGTAATCGGCCTGGGGAGAAGTTAGATTTGGTGCTTTAGATTTTACACATAATAAAGGCTCCAAGTCTGCTAGTTTTTTTTTTTTTCCTGGTTTCAGGGTTACCTTGAGGTTTCCTCTGTCCAGAGCAGCAATGAGATGTTTTCTGACCTCCACCAGTTTGGGACGGGGACCTCTGGGACTCGAACCCGGTTTGATTGGATTCTCCTTCAAGTACGTCTGGAGCTTGCATTCCCCCAACAGTAGCTCGCCTAAGTCATCTTCACGCACACAAATAAAGAACGTTTGTACAGCGCTCATCAGTCGTGTCTATTTTAGCCCAACCGTTATATTTGAATACAAGTAATTAATTAAAAATAGAAAGTTAATAGTCATTAAATATGATTCTTAGGTCAGTCTGAGATCAAATCAACAACAACAACAATAAAAAAAAGCCAACTAAAATTACCCACGATCAACAATTATGGCATTTTAAGTGAAAATGTGTCTCTTCAAGAGCCACTCTGCTTAGACTAATTTCCAACAGAATTATTAAATCATATCTGAATTTCAGCAAGTAATTATATAAACTGGGAAACACCACTTTTCTTGCAAACATACCATCAAGAATTAGGTACAAATTACACAACTGTGATTGTAGAAGTGTGTGCTCAGATAAACGTGACCCATAATCCAGTTACTGACCAAAGCACCAGCGGGTCAAATTTATTTCAAGTTCAAGTCAATTTTATTGTTGTTCTCATCCCATGTGGTACAGGAGGTGGAACAAAATTATGTACACAGGGTCCCAGTTACACCCAACAATATCAAAAGTAGTTCTATAGTAGAAGAGTGATGCACACAGTTAAGAAACCAAAACTGTAATGTTGCAAAGCTTCCATTAAAAGGTAAAATACATAATATATTTAGTTATAATCTTTTCTTTTCTCTCTACAGGGGTCACCACAGCGAATCATCCTCATCCATCTGACTCTGTCCTCTGCATCCTATGTCCTCACTCCATGTCCTCTCTAACTGCATCCATATATCTCCTCTTTGTCTTTTTCCTGGCAGCTGCATTTCTAACATCCTTCTACCAGTATAACCACTGTCCCTCCTCTGGACATGTCCAGACCATCTCAGTCTGGTCTCTCTAACTTTATCTCTGCTCCTTGAAGCCTCACTGTTCCACCAGCCTCCCTCTCATTCACACACATGTACTCTGTCTTACTACAGCTGACTTTCATTGCTCTTATTTCAAGTGCATACCTCCGCCTCTCCAAGTTCTCTTCCACCTGTGCCCTGTTCTCACCACAGATCACAATGTCATCTGCAAACATCATAGTCCACGGGGATTCCTGCCTGACCTCATCCGTTACTCTGTCCATCACCAGAGCAAACAAGAAGGGGCTCAGAGCCGATCCTTGATGCACTCCCACCTCCACCTTGAAGCTATCCGTCACTCCTACAGCACATCTCACCACTGTCCTGCAGTCCTTATACATGTCCTGCAGTCTAACACACTTCTCTGCCACTCCAAATTTCCTCATGCAATACCACACTTCCTCCTTTGGCACTCTGTCATATGCTTTTTCTAAATCCACCAAGACACAATGGAGTTATTTCTGACCCTCTCTGTACTTCTCCATCAGCATTCTCAAAGCAAAGATGGCCTCTGTGGTGCCCTTTCTCTGCATGAAACCAAAGTGCTGCTCACAAATTGCCACCTCTCACCTAAAAGTCTTGCTTCCACAACTCTCTCCCAGATCTTCATCGTGTGGCTCAAGAACTCAATTCCCTGTAGTTGCTACAACTCTGTACATCACCCTTGTTCTTAAAAATGAGCACCAGCACACTTCTTCTCCATTCCTCAGGCATTTTCTCACCCACAAATATGTCATTGAATATTTGAGTCAAAAACCTCACTGCCGTCTCTCCAAGACATTTCCAAACTATACTTAGTATATAAATAATAATAATTAGTTATAATAATGTCCTATTTTTTCTCTAGTTAAACCTTAAAACTACTCTGAATAATTTTATTTGTATTTATTTTACTTTGATGCTCCCCTCCACAGACTCAACTATAAAAATAATATAAAAAAATTGTATTTACCACAAAAGCATGGTCTTAGCAGATTTAGTTTGGTCTGTGAAGCTGCTAATAACTTAGTTATGAAATACATTTACCTTAATAAGAGTCTGTCAGACACAAAAAGTAGAACAAATTCTTCACACTAGATTTCTATTTTAGTGACTACAAGATAATAAATCATGACTACGTTTTTAAATTAATTATTAATATTAATTTATAGTTAAACTACAGGGATACTGTATGTACATAGAATTAACAAACAACCCCTAAAGACTGAGGCTTCACTATCAGTCTAACCCTGTTTAAAGTTAGCATGTAGAATTTCGTGCACAAAACGTCATTTTTGAGTTTCGGCAAACAATTTGGATTCCTGAAGAAATTATTAAAATACATAACGAAAGCTTGCATTTTTATGGAAACATCGGCTATAATGAAAGTTCAATAAATATTGATTAACTTTAGTAAAAACCGGACTGTGTTGTGTTATCTGCTAGCATTCAATATTGATCAATTTAGTGAATGAATGATTAAAAAAAATAATAATAATAAAACAGTGAAGCTAATCGTTTATTTTATTTCACTGTGGCTATATTTGCTGGTATTTCATCTGAATAATAATAATATTATTAGCTGACTTTGCACACACAGTGACCCAGATCAGGTCACAACATCCTGAAATGCATGAAATGAAATATACACTCCCCGAAAACCATGACAATTATTAGTGAAACTACGTTTCTTTCTAACTTTTGTTTCGTTAATTAACTGAGTACAAAGCTGAAAACATTGTGCTGAAAACTCCCATCATCTGATGCAGATATCAGGAAGTCCGGAAGACCCAGGCCGGGGAAAGGCCTCCTAAATCGGATCCACAAACTGCTTCCTACCGTTTGATATTAGCTTCGCCGACAGCTGCCGAACCAGCTCCGGTATCTTGTCCCACTGGCTCTCTGAGCGGCACCGCTCTATCTCGGTTTCCAGTCGTGATCCAGACTTCCTCGCTGTCATTTTCGTGACTGAGGTAGACTGGAATGGACTGGACCAAAACACCCGAAGCTGCCTTCAGCGAGAACAATCGTCAAGTTGACACGTACGAGACGCGACTTCCGGTGAGTATTGTTGCAACAAACCTGGAGGTCGCAAGTGAGTTAAATACATCTTTTTTCACTCGTTACATTTGTTGACTTTCCATATTGTTCTACTAAAAATGTAATTATATATATATAATTATAATATATATATATAGATCTTTTTTTTGAGAGAGATCAGCTCTTACGCTAGTCAACAGCGACATCTAGTGGCTCGGAAGTGAACTTACAGACTGTATTTTTGCATCGTTTCTGCCAACTTAAATTACTATTATTTCTTTATTAATGTCCATTATTTTTTATTTATTATACAATGTATTTGTAGATGTTTGAAAATTGTGTTTTGGTGGGGGTTACTTTTTGATTCTTATTTTGTTTGTGTTCAATAAATACCATACAACACTACCAGTCTGATCAAGAAAGCACATCACAGAATCTACTTCCTCAGGCGGCTGAGGTGAGCTGGTCTGTGAAGCTCAGTCCTCACCTCCTTCTACAGGTGAGCAGTGGAGAGCATCCTGAGCTCCAGCATCAACGTGTGGCATGGAGGCTGCACAGCTGCAGAAAGAAAAGCTTTGCAGAGAGTGGAGAAGGCTGCACAGAAATCTGTCGGAATCAGTCTCCCCACCATCACAGACATCTACACCTCCAGATGCAGGAAGAGGGCCACCTGCATCATGAAGGACCCCACTCACCCAGCACACACACTTTTTGCCCCACTCCCCTCAGGAAGGAGGTTAAGGAGCATTAAGTGTAGAACCACTAGACTGAGGAACAGCTTCTACCCTGAGGCTGTTAGACTCATGAATCTCTAACTAGAATAATCACTGTGAAAAACCATATCATGTTGCTGCTGATCTGTTTCATGTTGCTGCTGATCTGTTTCAATGTTGATGTGTTCATGCGTGCACATGTGCTCACAGACTCATGTTCATGTTTGTGCTGATGTTCAATGTTTTATGTTATGAGTGCTTAGTGTATATTTAGTTGATGTTTTTCTTAGTTCATATCTTAGATGTTATTACTGTTTTTCTTATACATTTTATTGTTGGATATAACTGGGACCCTGTGTACATAATTTCGCTCCACCACATGTACCACATGAGGTGCGAATGACAATAAAGAAACTCTGACTCTGACAAGCGGCTGTATTCATACCCATCTGCTCAAAACACTCATGTTCAGGCTGCTGTTCAATACATCAAATTATATTATATTATTGTTTAGCGTATATCTTAGATCCTTGTATACTGTTTCTTATTTTTATACTTTACATTATCGCTTTTTGGGTGTAACTGGGACCTTGAGTACACAGTTTTGTTCCACCTCATGCACCACATGTGATACGAAAGACAATAAAGTCACCTTGAACTTTGAACTTGCCAGAAGAAGAAAGCGTTATTGTGAAGGACATGGTCCATGTCCATGAATGACAGGGGAGAGGAAGGGAATAAATGAACGAGGAGGAGAGACAAGTTGGGTGGTAATTTCAAAAAGCAGGTTGCAGGGATGCCTGGGAACTCAAAAGCAGACTGGTTTGAAACACTGCTACTTAATACAACAGATACTACTGGCAGGCCCCAGACTGATGAAGTCCTTCAGATGAAACGTTTTCTTTCCAAAAAAAAGAAAAACAAAAAAACCTGTCCAGATGTCATGATTTAAAATTTTTGTGATATATTTACCCGGATGATTGATCCTATTTAGTCTTTTTGTCTGTTGATTAACAAGCTCACCAAAATACAAGTAAGATTTGATATAATTGAATTTCTGTAGAATTCAAAGTCAGGCTTTAAAACGTATCTAAAACTTGTTTGAAAGTTTTTTTAAGCGCATTGCAGTTCACATTTCTTACCAGCTGGTGGCGGTAATGCACCACATTATTGTTTGCCAACCACCTAAGAAAACCAAAGAAGAAGAAACTTTAGTACTTGACTTTATTGTGAAAATTACAAACCGGAAACAAATAAAGGTTGTTCTGACGAGTAGGCGAGAGGCGAGTCAGGGAGAAACTAAATGTTAAACTTTTTGTTGTATTGACTAATGCAAGCATTTCTTTTGGGTACATTATGGAAACTGAAAAGGTTAGTATAAATTAATACTGTTTCAGCACATGCTAACCTTAAAATAAAACCTTTGTAGCTCGTTAGCGTTACTTCCCTAGCTGCGAAGCTAGTAGTTCAAACTTAAGTTAACAAAGTGAGGGAGGTGTGTTTGTCATTACGTTTGATTTAATTTACTGCCGTATCTGACATAAATAAACTGTTTTCAAATTGAACAGTCTGTTTTCGTTTTGTTAGAGTTCAGGAGGAGAGGCGACCCACTTTGAGACTGTGGAGATTGTGGACATCAACCGAAAGAAGGTGAAGATCCCCCGCAGGACCATCCATTTTGCCAACGGAGACACCATGGAAGAATACAGCACTGATGAAGAGGAGGAAGAGGAGGAAGAACACCTGAAAAAACGTGTCGTCACAGTTGATCCGGTATGTAGAGATGAAACGGAGGACATAAGGATTCTTGCTGTGAATTTGTTTATATAGTTTAGAATCGGTCTTCTAAGCTGTCATGCAGGATTTTCCAAGATTTCCTTATTTTTGTTTGAAAACTCCAATGAGTTGTTAAGACATAATCAGAAATAATGTATTACAGTATTCAAAACCTTAGCTAATAATATATATCATTTACAAATGCCAGATGCATCTCTTCAGTTTATTTTCTTCGATTTCATAATGAGTTTATAATTGTTTATAACCCTTGGATTGTGTGAAGTGTTTTTTTGGCGTCCAGTAAATATGACCAGCTCTCTCAGAAGCATTCAGGTCATTTCACTTGGTTAGGAATTAGGATATTTCTATTTGAAAACATTTAACCATGTTGAGCCAAAATTAGCAAAATCTGATTTGAGAATTTTGTTTTCCTGAGCAGTTTATGGAGTTTAATGGAAAGTTAGCATCTTATCAGATTGTTTACAAAGTCATTACATTTTTTTTTCTTGTTTCACTTAACGTGATCTCTAGTCCAAACTGACCTGGGGTCCTTACTTCTGGTTCCAAATGTGGAGAATGACCACCTCCACTATTTCAGGTAGTCTAATGTTGGATTTTTACAACTCCTCACTTTCTGAAATGGATGTTGATTGAAACGGGTTTCCTGCAGTGTGCGACTACATGGGAGAGAAGCTGGCCTCTCTGTTTGGCATCACCAGTCCCAAGTACCAATATGCTATTGACGAGTACTACCGCATAAAGAAAGAGGTATGGCACCTTTGTTATGTTTGCACAGAGGTTCAAGCAAAAACGTAACCCTTGCATATAGAGCGGAATAGCACTGAATGCATATGTCATACTGCAGGAGGAGGAGGAAGACCGTCTTGCAAAGGATGCGGAGCGTAAGTTTGCAGCGCAGCAGAGAGGAGAGCAGGAAGATTCTGCAGCTACAGTGAAGGAGCAACCCGAGGTGTCAGGAGCCTCCTTCGTTAACTTTAGCTTTGAGGTCGAGAGCGAACCTTCTCTCTGTGACCTGGACCCAAACAGAGTCCCCTCTCCTCTCCCGTCCTGAGAACTGACACAGTCCTCAAACCTTAGCTAACTCAGCTACACTAATATTTTTCCACAGTTATGATTGTAAAATTTATTTAAGACATTAAGGAGTAAAATAACAAAACTGGATGTGTTTGCACAAGCCTTACATGTGAATATAGATTTGTTTTTGGCTTTTCATATGTTAAACGTTGCTGTGTTCAGATGATGAATAAGCTTAACTTGCTATAAACTAGCTTGAGTTGAGACTGGATCGATGCCTTGGACATCTGTTTTTTTTTATTACTTACAAAAAGATAAAACATGTCTAAATGTGGTGAGGTGGTCTGATCTAATCAACAATATTGACAGATTTGAACGTCATTAGGATGTTGGAAACAGGACCTTTGGGTTTGTGGTTTTAGGGGTGGAGAACCTGTTGATGCCGCCCGGATAGGAAGTCCTTAATCTGCAGCAATGTTGGATGTTTTCGTTGTGCCAAAGGAACCTGGCAGATTTCCCTAGCGGATGTAGCTGATTTTATTATTATTATTTTTATGTACAGTACTGATATGCAAAATAAAACCGTAGGTTTTGCTCAGTCGTTTACTCCACCTGCCTTTCTGCTCCGTCTTTTCTGAAATGTAGCAACACATGAAGCCTTAAAGAATTTAATGAAGTCCGATGAATGATGGACCTGAAAGGCTTTGACTCGGTTAAATCTTTATCAAATAAACTGTAGTGTGGTGTTGCATCTCTCGGCATTTTAAAACAAAAAATTCAGTTGGAGATGTTTCCATTTGACACATTTATGATTTCAGTAAAATGTTCAGATAAAAAGCTACGCCTCTAGGTACCGATGGGAAAGTACAAGATAATTTCTCATTAAACGTGAACTCAAATGGAAAAATCTAAAGTTGAAAGTACAAAACTTAAGGGCTGACTTGATTACAAGCTTTATTCTGTCAAACTGTTTAAATGTCACATTTGGTATAAATTACTGATACTTGGTTTTGTAGCAGGTTTTTAGACACAAAATCCCAGTTTTGCTTTTATATTTCTGTTTTTAAAGATACAGTTTCTGTTCAGATTTTTAGTCAAATGGATCAGATTTGGAGTTATCTGTTTAAAGACATTGAAAAAGGGAAACTTAATACTGAGTTTTACATTTAATACTGAAAAATATCCATTGTGCTTTAAAAAAAACAAACATTATTTTATTGGTATTAAATGTTTTTGTGATTTAATTGCTAGAATCTCACGCCCATCCTTTAAGTGGCCGTGTTCTCTTAATCCTGTGAATTATTTTAATCTGATTTGTTGCGACTGGTTTTAATCTTCCATGATTTTACCAAACAAGTCCAAATATTTGTTGTAATAATAATTGGACGATTATTTAACGACTTCTTATGTGTGACGGTCAAAATATGCAAGAGTTTTATTTTAACTGAAAACTTTTCTACATGTATTTATATTTTCAACTTTAATAAATTTTAAATACTGAAAAAAATATTGTGTTTTTATTATTTTACTCATGACTTGTCATAGTCTTGTGTGAGTCTAATTTTATTTTATTTATTGGAAAATTTTACACACACAAAAAAAATTCATGTTTCTTTAGCTTGAGTTTTTAATAATCTCAAACTTCTTCATTTATAAGAAAAAACATCAAAAATAATTGACTAAAGCAACATTGTAATTCATATAAGAAAACATTTTATAATAAATCATTATGAATGATGACATTAAGCTAAATTTATTACAGGGTTTTACGTTCAGGAAAGGCAAAAATAAAGTCCTTTACAGAAAAATTACAATTTTTACATTAAAGTTTTGTAAATAAAACCCCCAAAAGTCTCTTAACGTTTTAACCGTTGCTCTTCAAGTGATGTCGAGCTCAGCTGTGTTGCTGCCGTCGTTTTCGTTGGCGACCAGCACCTCCCTGTTCTCGTAGGTCCAGAAGCCGTTGAGGTCGATCAAGATGCTGACCACGGTGTCGCCCTGGCAGCTGTTCACCAAATCCTGGAGTGTGATCTTGTAGGGGTCTTTAGGCTTCACCATGTCAAAAATCTCATCCTGAAGGGAGACGGTGATGAAAATAATCAGGAAATGCACAACACATGTTGTCCTTGTAATATAAAGAGGTGGATAAGAAGTAGAGATGGTGAGGGTGTTTTTACTTTGACGTCCTGGAAAGAGACAGGCTCCTGACTGTGCAGCTTCATCTGCTCCTGAATGTCCTGTTGGACATAGACACAAACCGTCCTGAAGCACTGACAGGTGGTCCATCTTAGAATGTGCAGCGCAGCGACTAATAAAACCATGTTTAAGGGTCAGGTGATACCCTGAAGAAGTAGTTGAGAGAAAAGACGTTGAGGTATCCTTGATTCTCCATGTCCAGAAGTTTAAAAATATACTGCAACGCTGCCGGCTCCTTCCTGTTTTCCAGGGCCAACACAAAGTCCAGGTACGTCTTATAGTCCTGGAAAAAAAGGAAGAAAGAATGCTTGAGGCAAATATTTAAGATAAATGAGGTAATCATCATCCAAAAAAGAAATGTCATCAAACGTTCTCTCTGAAGGTTAATCTTATTACTGGAGTAGTTAAAATAAGCACTCTGTATGTTCGTACTGACAGGAAACATCTGCCATGACTCTCGTACCATTTCTCCATCGTATGTGAGGCACTCCTGAAACACTCGGTCCAGAAAGACAGAAGTAAGAGTTGCCGTGCCGTAACGCGACAGCTCGTCTTTGCTCAACATGCCGTTGTGATCTTTGTCCAGATTTAGATACTGGCCTGGTAAGATCCAGATTAAAATGAAAAGCCAAATTATTAAGGTCAAAACAATAAACTCAAAGATCCAGCAGGTTTTCTCACCATAGACTCTGAGAGATGACGGAGCCGAGAACCAGTTGGACTCCTGACTTTCTTTAGACAGCTCCTCATCTCTCAACTGCAAACATGTCACGTGGAGGAAAAGGATTAAATACAGATTGCTTCAGGACAAATAAATCAAATACAAATTTGTTCTGTTGCAAAAATAAAAAATGGAAACTTGAAGAACCACTAAGTAAAAATGTCCTACCTCCAATAGGTCATCTAAAAAACTGCAGGCCAAGATATCTTGAATTTTAATTTTTCCTGTTAAAAAAAAAAAAAACATTGTTGAGTTTAGAGCCACAAATAACCAACTTTTATCCTCTAATTGTGGACAGATTTACGTTTACATTAAAAAAGAAAGGTTACTGATGGGACGGTGATTTGTGTTATTGATACATTAGTCACTTTTATCCTCTAATTGTGGACAGATTTACGTTTACATTAAAAAAGAAAGGTTACTGATGGGACGGTGATTTGTGTTATTGATACATTAGTCACTTGGATGCTCACAGAAAAAACAAAAGATTTATAACAAATGCAGGCATGCAGTTATTACGTTCTTTCTGTGATCATGTATGGACTGTAAAGTCCTCTGAACTTAAAGGTCTTCAGTTAAAAGTCTCACCAGTTCGGAGCGGGTCGAGGAAGAAGAAAAACTTGCGGACAGCAGTGCAGACGTAGAAAGAATAGAAGGACTTTTCAAGTCCGTCCAGCTGAGGCAGAGTTGGAATCAGCTCCAGGATGTAGTTCTCCAGATCCTACACAGACCAATAAATATCACAACACTAAAGCATAAAAATATATAATTATATTTTATCACTTGAACTGAAATGAGCGTTTGACTCTTACCGACTCTCTGAGGTAGCCTTGACCAGCTACATCATACAGACTCAGGCCTATTCGGGTCTGGTGCAGCCAAACTAAACAAGAACAGAGATAATCATTTATTAATGATCTTATCTTCATCTATTGTTTGACTCACAAAGTTCACTACACATTTTTTTTTTGTTCTTTCTGATAAAATTTGAAAAGGAAAGTTAAACGTGTCTCCAAACCTTTTCTCATGACGTAGTTAAAGAACTGCATGATAGAAATTCGGCCATACGGGTCGTTGTTCAGCAGCTTGGTGTAAACTCTGGCTGTAAAGAACTTTCTGAAAGAAATAAATTCACAATATATTAGCTGTTAAATCTGCTTCTGACATCTGTTGCAGGAAGCTTGTGTGAAGACTCTTTTAATGCAACTCTTCTCATCTGAATATGTACTTTTAATCCCATATGTTAATCACAGTTGTAAATGAGAACAGGTTCTCAAACATTTCGCCTGATAAAATACAGGTCAAATATGGATTCTGCTACCTACCTGCACTTGGGTCCTGCCTTTTCCCCCACCTGCAGGTAGGCTTCATAGTTGATCATGGCCTCATCGCCACTCACCGGAGGCACTTGATTTTTATCAAGCAGAAACCACAGATTCTGCAAAGACACAAATAGAGCAGAAGTAGAAGAAGCCCATAGTGTAAAGAAGCACAGACCATGTGTGCTATGTTGAGCACGTTCTACCTGTAGTTCCTCATTATCCAACAGCTCTCTGCTCTTCCTCTGGAGGAAAACAGCTCTGGATTCTTCCCTCAGCTTCTGAAGAAGTACCTCATCATCTGCTGGCAGCTGTGTAGCATCATCATCATCACAGATGTTTTACAACCAAACAATTCAGACACACAAGTCTACAGTCAATACATTTTTCATCTGCTTCTGACAAACCTTACAATGACAAGTAAATAGTACTATAGTACATAGTACATCTTTAGGTACCCCTTAATGGTCCAAAAGTTACAATTCTGGATTTTTTTTTTTATAAAAGCTACCTTATAATAAAACCTTGGGATGGACTTGTAGGATTCGCCTGTCTCGACCCCTCCTCTCCACTCCGTGTAATATTTGGTGAATAAATCTGTTTCTTCTGATTTCTTCTCCTCGTCGCTCCTCTCGTCTTCTCAAATAACACATACATTAATTAATTGCTTTAAAATAACTGAGTCAAAACCACTTAATGTTATAAAACACTTCTTGTTTCAATCCCAAAAGCGTTAGCTAGCCTAACAAGCTAAGGGTAATTTTAATTATTTACCGTTTTTGACGTTCGCTATTCTCCTCTTCAAAATATCCGCCCACTGGGAGTGCTGCTCTTTAGCCATATTAGCTGGGAAAAAATAACACAACGTTTAAATCATTATATCTAAAAAAAAAAAAACCAACTGGTTTTGTGTAACAAACTTAACTACAACGTAATTGTGAACAACAAAGCCTTTTCCGGTGAAATGGTTTAGTTTTCAAAATAAAACGTCAAACTCTGGATTGCAAGTTGAAAACGTGTACTGTAAAAATCCAAGATTGCTTAATAAAATTTAAATAGCACAAAGTTTAAATATTTACATCAAATTATGCATTGCTTGTAGGCTTATGTGAATATTAAAATTCAATTAACTTTTTATATTTATTTTGAAAATATTTACGCTGCTTTCACGTACATCTAACTACTCGGAATTTCTATATTCAATATTAGAAGTAGACATTTTAAGCAATAATAAAATTATTTAAGAAGAATTAATAATATATTTAATGTAAATTTTAAATCTTAAAAGGAGTTTTGTTACAAAATTATCAGTTTTTTAAATTAAAACAAAGCTATAAATTAACTTATCTCTACTTCCGATATACACGAAAGCAGCATCAAAAAACGAACTTTTCCGCTGTTCATGACGACAACAGTGTGCGACTTTTCTACTGGCATGCTAAGTTATTCACTCGGTTTAGCTATTTAAACTTTGGTAAGATAAAATATTTAATATAAAACTATAACTCTAGACTTCAGATCCAACAAGAGTTTGATATTTAGTTTTAATTTTAATGAAAGATTTAACAGCTAAGTGTGGGTTCGTCAGCGGCATTTAGCAAACAAATTCATTCATATTGATATTTATTCATTTCAATAATAATTTTTGTGATTATTCTATTGACTTATACATGATATTTAAGTAAAATATTTGTCAGTGTTCTATACTAATGTGAATGAGAGGTTTAGACGTCAATAGGTTGCATAATTTCCCAATGAAATAAACGTTAAACCTCCTAAAATGGGCTCTACATTTATACTAAAAGTCAGAATATGTTTAAAGTCACCACAGCTGCTTTCCTCAGCACGCTGTTTTTGCACAAGAGAATTCAAGCAAAACCTGAGCAGCAGACAGATGGACAGAAGTAACCGTGAGCAGGCTGATGGACAAGCTGGGTTTAGAAATAGCAACATTTCTCAGGGCATGAAGGATGGAAGCAGTAGAAATACAACTATGAGGAAGATGCCTTCCTTTCCCAAATCTGTGTTTGCTGCCGGAACAGCAAAGAGGACAGCAGAGAAGTCCAAAAGGAGGGAATCACTAGCCTCTGTGGATGAAGAGGAGCCTGCTCGTGTGCCAAGTAAAGAAACAATAAAGTTTATTAAAATATTTGTATTTTTTGAGAGTAAAGTCTTTGAAATGTAAAAAAGCTAAGCCAAAATACACAATTAAGCTGCAAGCAATCAAATTAATCGTTAATCTTCAATATGTACATACAAATTATAACTGGTGATAAAGAAAAGGTTAAAGTTCAGACCTTTTTCTTTTTTACTTTTTTTTTTTTTTTTACAGGAAATCTGCAGGTTCCTGAAGGGTCACTTTCTCCTGCTGAGTGGAAGAAGCTGAAGGAGTCTCTGGGAAATTCTAAGGATTTTGAAACCCAAATGATGCTTTCATTTTTAAACTCTGGGACAGAACTGGACATTGTAAAGTAAGAAAAGCATGAGTGTTTGACATTTATTGTGATACTTGTTAAGTGGACAAGTTTTCAGAATGCAGAATAAAATGCAGTTCATTTGTATTTTAATGTCAGGATTGAGTCTAAAAAATACAGTCACAAAGAAAATTTAGCAAAAAATGAAATGATATGGGAACATCCTAATAAAAAGCTGTTGTTTGACTCCCAAATTGAAACAAGTTACTTTGTGTCACAGGTCCCTGCTGACTTTTGTTGCAGTGGAAACAGGCACTCTGCCCTACAAGCTGCTGTTACGCTATCTGCATCTGTGTGTGAATAGAGCCCGCAACGATGAGGTGTTTGATGTCTACAAAATCATGCGTGGAAGTTTCCCCTCACTGGAAACAGGAGCTTCCACCCTTTTTATCAAGTCATTCAGCAAGACGGCACAGTGGAAAGAGGCTCTCAGTGTCCTGCAAGAGCTCAAGAAGGTTAAACTATCTGCTGGTTAAAAAAAATATACTTCATATTTTCTACACCTTAATTAAATTTTTATTATTGTCAAAAGGTTATAACCCCGTCACAACGCAACTATAGCGACGTCATCACAGGAGCACTTCAGCATGGTGACATGACCACTGCCTGGGCTCTTTATGATGAATTAATTGAAAAGGGACTGACTCCACATCAGGACACCTGGGAGGCTCTGTTTGCAAGCACAAAAACACCTAATGAGGAAAACGTCATGCATGAGACTGAACATCAAGAGCGGCTGCAGGGTGTTCTGCTGTACATGAGGGACAACCAGATCTACCCCCAGCACAACGTTGCCAGCAAAATCAAGACCTGGTTTGAAAGGCGAGAGATCTTAAAGATGCAAATATTCAGATGGATGCATGTCATATTAAAATAAAGCAACATACTGGAATTTATTTATACAAGCAAATTATTTTTATATGCAGTTGTGTAAGACCTAAAAAATGCTGCTGTTAAAACTAAGATATAGTCTTAAACTTTGCCAGCAACTGTGCCTCAATTGTCTGACTAACGTTCTACTATGTTTTTATCTCTACTTCTTTTTTTTTGCTCCATCCTTCCTGTTTTCAGTCTCTCAGGACAGAACTGGACAGGAGGCTGGACCACCGTCACCCTGAAGTAATCAAACTTGCAAGTTTTTTTTTTATAAATACTTTCCATTATATATTTATTTTTTGTTTTACAAGTATGCATGTGTATTTAGTGGAATGTGTAGGCATTGTGGATCAGATCTGGAGTCCATCCAGCTGAGTGCTGAAGAATATAAAAATTTAAAAGACAGAGTAATGGCTGACGTCATTCAGGGGCGAGATGTTTTCAAAAAGACCACACCAGAGGTATGTACACACATATACACAAACACAACCCCTTAAAGGTTTTTGAGATTAAACTTATTACTAATGAGGATAAAATAACCTGATCTGTTTTGTGCAAGGCTTTTTACAAAATACATTTATTAAAATGCTCTGTCCCCATATATATTTTTAAATATTTGTTACCATGTTGATCAATCCAGATTAAAATAGATATGTCTTTCTACATAAATGCATAAATAAGCAACAAGGACTGAAAGTTTGTTAAAAAAAAAAAAAAAAAAAAATATGTTTCAGTATTTTTTGAGAAGGCCTGCCGAAAGTAAAGATTTGTTGATCAAGAAAGTATTTTTTTAAAGAAAAATATTTGTTGGTAAAGTTTGGCTCAGGTAGCACAAATCCCTGTGACTGTTTGCAAAAACTACAAATATAAGTCATTAAATGAAATATAAGTCATTAAATGAAATATAAGTCATTAAATGAAATATAAGTCATTAAATGAAATATAAGTCATTAAATGAAGGGAAAAACCTCAAGCTCCAAAGGTTTTTTGACTTCATAGATTTTCTTCCACGTTCACCGGTAAATAAAAAACCCTAAACATTTTAAGTCATTTTATTGTACTGCTGTCCTGCTATCAAAATAATTTTACTATTAAAACTGATCAATTTCTGATATCTGATCTGATTTATGCTAGCCTGATACTTGAACACTGGATATGATTATTACACTTTCCTAAACTTCACAAGTTTTTAATATTTTAATCTAATGTTTTCAAATAGAAAATAGTTACGTTAGTCCCAGAATTGTTTTGATTGGAAGTAATTAACCCCAACATTTTAATTTAATTTGTCCATGTGGTATGATGTAAACACTTTCTTCTTAACGCAAAGTAAAAGCCAATTTCCTTTTAGCAACATTAGCTTTCTAGCTGTTTTTTATTAGTGCCTGCTAGGTGGCATCGTTGGTTCACTTCACAATCCACCAGACTGGAGTTCATCTCAAACGGGCTTTGAGCTTTTTGACCTCTTATCACCTATTAGATTAATTTAACAGAATTATTGTCTGATCTGACATGCTTTTGAGGGAGGGATTTTAGAGAAAAATAACACCTAAAACAGTTCAGCCATTGATTGGGTTCATAATCCCAACTGATTAAACTGATTAATCCTGGGCTGGGCTGGAGTGAGACTGATATTTTCAAACGAATCTCAGAAACACAACAAGTTTCATCCTAATCTCTTTATTTTCAAAGGTGTTAGATTCTGTTTTTTAATGGGATTAGGCTATTACCGTACTTGCCGCTGTACATGTTGCACCACCATATAATTTGCATCAGTCTAAATATATAATAGCCACTTTTACCTATTAATGAGACACTTGGCTTGCCATATAGGTCGAGCTTGAGCGCCCTCTAGCAGCTGGAAATGATAGTGTTCAATATTTTCCATGTCAGAATGAGTGAAATCGTCAGATCTCAGCCAAAAATTGGGTTATAAATATGGGGAAAACAACATATAAGTCGCTTTGGTGTATAAGTCTTAGGACTTGTAAATTTATGCAAAAAGATGCAACTTATACAGCGAAAAATACGGTACCTGGAAAGTGTAGCCATCACACTTGCTCAGGCAATCAAATTTGTTTTCAACTTTAATTTTAAAGTTGAGAAATTCATTAAATCATATCATATATGCTTAGGGAAAATAATATACAGCTGGATTATGCTGGTGAAGATTCTGGATACAGCTGGATTACAAACATTTTTTGGTGTTTTGGGGAGTTTTGCACCATTACGATTGCCAATTAGTTTAGCATCAACTAAATTAGCAACCTGCCTTATGTTTTCTCTAGGGATGCACCGATCCACTTTTTTCACTTCCGATCCGATACAGAAAATCTGTGCTGAATTAATAAAAATGGCTAAATCATGTCATTGGACCAGTTTCTGAAACAGGTTCAGATGACATGATTTAGACATTTTTGTTGTCTACCTGGATGATTGAGCTTACAAACCCTGTGCTGTATTAATTTAAAACATTTGTTTTGTTAAACGCAGACATTAATGTACTGAATTTCAAATTTATTGAAACTTCTGCACCATAACAGCACACTTAAACACACCAAGCGCTTCACAAGCTTGGTCAAACGTAAAAACAACACAACTTTAATTTGCTCAGTCAGTACGCTAGCACATGACGTCACTCAGAGCACACAGCATAGAATTAGAGTGAATACATCTGCCCAGTCGTGGATCGGTCACATTGTCACCGATACCTGATCCAGAAGTTTATTTTATTTTATTTTTTAAATATCGGTACCGATACCGATACTGGTATCAAATCGGTGCATTTCTAGTTTTATCTTAATTTGCCTAAAAGCTCAAGTATAAAAAGGTTATGTATTTGTATGTTTTATTCACATAATTTCATAAGTACCATAGTCATATTTATTTTTTCATGAAGAGGTATCAGCTTTTTTTCTTTTTTGTAGTTGTAAATGAGACAAATTTAATTTCAGGGACGATGAGGAGAAAGACATTAATATTGTCTAAACCTCTACAGTGGAAGTGATTATTTCTGTTTTTCATTCTTATTCAGTGGAAATGCTTAAACAGATATTTACCACAAACTTTAGATACATTTTTCACAAAATGAAAATTAGATAATTTACATTATTTCTTTTTTTTCTCTGAAGCCGGTACATGCAGTCATAGCAAATAGTGTGTGAAAGCTCAGTATGCATCAGTGTGAGTCATTCTGCTAAAAAAAATCAGCTGAGACTCACGCTACTTGTTTGAGAGGCAGCTACACGTCATGGCAGGGTTTCAGTACAAACGTAACAGAGATAGAGCTACATTCAGTAGCCTCTAAATCTGTGTGGATAGTTCTTAATCTCAATTTATCATTTATATTTTCTGTAAGTGCAGTTACAGAAACTTGGCCATAAGAGCCAACGTGAAAAATATGCCATGTTTAATTCATGACCAGAGAGCAAGTTTTTGCATGTTTTTCCCCTCAAATCTTTCAAACTATCTCACCAGATAGTTTTATGGCTAGATTGATATATTAAGGGGATTTCCAGCATGTGAGGTGCAATGTAAATCTGGACCAGGTCGACTTGAAGGAGTCAATTCTTCATTTAAGGCATTTACCGTATTTTCCGCCATATACATAGCACTGCCCTATAAGTTGCATTAGTCCATATTTGTCTAATAAAGTGGAAAAAAACATAAATATGTCACTTCGCTGTATACGTCGCATCTATTATGCGTCACTGCTGATGCGTCGCGTTTGTTACGCGTCACCGCTGACAACCCGGAAACGTGGGCCGGTGTTGTGCCAAAAATTGATGGGCTGCCAAATGGTGGCCACGGGAGCATGCACGGGCGGACTTTAACAAGAATTTAACAAGATTAACACTTAAAAACAATTATTTGTTTGCTCGAAATTATAGTAAATGTGTGTCTCAATCTAACGTTTGTTTAATAAATGCACTTTGACAGTCAAATCAGCTGCATTTCAAAAGCCAATGCGCGGAAGTAAATGCGTGCACGCGATGAGTCGCTGTGCAAATTTAACAAGAAAAACACCTAAAAACAATTATTTGTTTGCTTGAAATTATAGCAAAGGTGCGTCTCAATTGAACTATTCCTTAAAAAATGCACTTTAATGGTCAAATCAGCTGAATTTCAAAAATAGTTTAGCTGCTGAGGTGCTCCGGATACGCGCAGAGGGAGGAAATCAGGAAGGAGGAACGCTGCTCGTTCATTCGAAATTTAACAAGAAAAGCACCTGAATGATTATTTGTTTGCTTGAAATTATAGCAAAGGTGAATTCAAAAAAGTTCAAGACACAAACAACTGGACTTTATTTGTAACAGAAGACGTTTCGCTTCTCTTCCGAGAAGCTTTTAAAGAGCAGATCGTGTGGGGTTCAGGTTATAAAGCTGAGATAAAATACACACATACATATGCAGATTGACCTATCACCCCTCACAGTAGTGGTTTATTAAGGTCTTTGTTAATTTAGTTCACAGATGAGGCCCCTCTGGCCCCATTTGAGAATCTTCACCAGCGAATAGCAAAAGTGTGTCTCAGTCTAACGTTTGCTTAATAAATGCACTCTAATGGTCAGATTAGCTGCATTTTGCCGGGGGTGGTGCAGCTGGTTTGACAGTTCCAAGCAGCGAGCAGAACGAAGGTGGGGAGACCATGGCAAGCTGATTGTATCATTAATAGCTGGTGAAGATTCTCAGTCATCCAGGACATGGAAAATTCAAAACAGTTAAAGAAAAAAAACAATAAAGTATAATAAATAAAGTCCAGTTGTTTTGGTCTTGAACGTTTTTGAAATTGTCATTATAGCCAAGTTTACCTATTACATAATACAACGGCATGCCATACAGCTACTACTACTCTGCTGCCATCAAGTGGCTGAAAATGGTACTATTCTTTTTTTTTCAGTCAGAGTGAATGAAGAGGGTCATATCTCAGCCAAAAATTGGTTTATAAATACGGGCAAAAATCCATAAATATGTTGCTTCGGCCTATAAGTCGCAGGTCATGTAAATTATGCAAAAAAACTGCAACTTATAGGCCGAAAAATACAGTAGTCTTAAAGGCAAACGGGTGACAGCAAAGCAGCTGATGCAGGAATAGCACTGGAAGAAGAGCAGCGTCTCTGTCTGTTTTTAGTGATAACTGCAGTTGTAGATTACATCTGGAAAGGATGATGTATTTTTTGATATATAGTGATTAACAAAAATGCTTAATAGGAAAAGTGAATATAAACTTTCCTAGAAAATGACCATCTGAACCAACCAGATATTTTTAAATGCAAATTGTGGATCTAGAGAGTGAAAACAAAAGGTTTGTTTTCCTTTAACATAAATGAGCAAAGCAAACACCTTCCTGATTCACACGAGGCAAACACACAAGTTTTGAGCTTGAGTTACGGCCAGTTGTATGTTAAAATTTAAAGTTTTAGAAAAACAACAATTTCTCTCTCATCATACCTGCACATCACCTGAAAGTCCAATAGGAACTACTTTTATTGCTACAAGATGAAGTTTTTGTGTGTGCATTGACTGTAAATGAGCCAGGCTTATAAAAATGTCAAACTAGATTATTTTACTCACACAGAGAGCCAAAAATCTCCAAAGAAAGATGTGAAAAGTTCCTAACAGGCTACGAAAAGCATTTACAAGCTGAGAGTTGCTGAAGGAGAAATGCCAAAAACTGAACATTCAAGGAGCTGAAGCTTTTTTTATATATATAATAATTTTAAAATGTATTAAAAAAAAACACAGCTGCTAAAAAAAAATCTGACTAGTTTAAAACGTTTTAATCATTTTATTCATTCTGCTGCTTTTAGTTACAATTTTACTTCTTTAATGTACTGCTTCTTAACTTTTAGCGACAATTTATCCACTGTTTTGCTTGTTTTGTCATCTGTACTGCATATTTGAGCATTTGGCTAGCCTTTTGTTACTAGTAGCTTCCTTATGGTCCTGCTACTTTTAACTATTGCTTTGCTCAATTTAGCTAGTTGCCATTCTGGTCTTTAGCTGCTCTTTTGCTATCTTTAGCCACTGTTTTGGTTTTAACACCTGTTTTGCAAATTTTAGCTGTAGCTACTGTTTTGCTATCTTTAGCTAGTCTTGTAGCTTAACGCTTTGAGTTACTGTTCTGGTTTTATCTGTTCAAGTACTTTTACTTTTTTTTTCTGCTGCTTTTACTCATCATTTTGTTATTTAGATTTGAGCCACCATTTTGCTACTTTTAGCATCTTTTTTGGTACTTTAAGCTCCTGTTTACCCCATTGTAGTATCTGTTTTGTTAATTTAAGCTTTACTGTAATGTAACTTAGCTTTTAGCTTTTTTTGCTCATTTTGAATTTTGTTCTGCTTGTTTTCACCCTAATATTTCAGTTTTATAGCTTCGTTTTTGTCAGCGTTCATATTTTTGCAGAGAATTCAGTTTCTCTACTTATTAATTTAATGTGAGGTATTTTCTGATATTATTTTATATTTTCGTACATTTTACCATCTGTCTGCATGTGAGGGTGGCACCAACATAACTTGTTGCACAAACTTATTCTCAAAAATATACATTTATATTTTTGTTCATCAAATGCAAGAGTAGGACATTTTTTTCACTAATAAATTATTGACTAGAACTGAGTTAAATACTGGTAGATGTTTACATTGAAATTAATGAAATTTGCAGCTTTATTAGTTTTAATGCTGTCGTATATTTTACAGAAAAGTATTGCTTGTGATTATTTATGTGGTATTGTAAGCTTCTGTTGGTACGTACAGATGTGGGTGTGTGCTTTTTTTTTTTTTTTTAAACGGTCTTCTTATCCACAGCAGCACAATGAGCTGGTTTCAAGTATCAACTCTGGAAAGTCCCTGGATAATTACTCTGGACTTTGTCTCCAGTTCTGTCTTCTTTCTTTGCTCTTAGTCACATATCTGATTTGTCTTTTTTAATCTTAAAACAGAAGTACCCAGAAGTAAATAACTCGCTGTTGCATAATTTAAAATTGATGTATTTAGGCAGTCAGTCTTGCATTTATTTATTTATTCATATTTTTCTGTCAGAGGTGGAATATTGCAGTCCGTTTTGCATTTTCAGGGTCACATTACTATTGAGCGTTAATGATGTCGTGCAAACAGTTTCAAGTTTCAAGTCCAGGGGAATTCACAGCAGCCTATTTCCATATCGCCTCTATTTAAAAGTGAAAGCAGCAACAATGTCCTCTAGCTGGAGGTCTATTCTGAGCTGCAGCATAAAAACTTTCCTGTTATGGTTCGTAGCTGCGGCACATGACTGAAGACACCGACAAGAACTTTACTCCCAAGTGGGTTTGAAGTATTTTCCCCTCTCGCAGATGAAACTTTCCTTATTTCCTGCAGAAAAGTTTAAACAAATCACGTGTCTTTTTGTAACAATAGCTGATGATGACTTCTCACAAAAAATACTATGAATGACAAAAATGTACAAAGAAGCAATAGTTTTGAGTTGTGCAGGTAAACTTGAAACAATGCATATTGAGTTTTATTTAAGGTCATTTCATGCTCTCTTGTGTCTAATAACTCAGCTACTACCACACCAATGTTTAGCTCAGTAACTGGAGAACAGACTGAGTTTTAGCTATTTTTATTTTGGCTAATGCTAATTAGCTGTGACAGCCATCTTGGATTGGATTGACTCCAAACATTAGTCAGATGTGTACTAAATATATATTTTTAATCTGTTCAGTGGTTCAAGAGAAATTTGGCTCATTTTGATTTGATTTACAAGCATTAAGCAAAAAGAAAGTCCAGGTTGATTTTTTTTTTAAATTTTATTTTAATTTTTACATGCAGGTTTGTAATCAATCAGTAAGAAAACAAGCCCACCATCAGGCATCAAAAGCTCATAGGTGGAGTTCAGATCCGTTTGACTGCAAGATGTAACAAATCCCCCTTGTTGTTGCTGTCGCTCTTTTTTTTTTTTTTTTCACATTTTTCTGTCAATTAGCCAAAATGAGAAATTTTTGTTGTTAATTTACTGACTAGAAAGTTTTTTTCAAGGTTTTATTTGAAAACAATACTACAAAAAAACTCAGCTAGGTAATTTTAGGTTTCTGTCATAACCCGGGTTCTATGATTTGGTAAGTGTGACTCCACTCGGCTCTCCTCAGTTCTTCTCAGGTGTAGGTGATTTACCACTGCAGTGGAGGCTTTCTTGCTTCCCCGCTCTGTGGGTGGGCTCTCCAATACAAAAGTGGCTTGATTCTATATGACCACCATAACTAACTTCAGAAAACACAGAAATGTCAATAGTTCAATTAATTTTACAAATATTGTACTAAAACAGGGCTATTCAACACAATTGCTAGTGGGGCCACAGTTACTGAAAGCCAAGAGCTCAGGGGCTGTACATCCAGCAGTTATTATCATTAAGTAAGGCTGTTTTACCATTTAAAATCTATATGAATCCATTGGTGGACCAAATTGAGCTCACCCGTGGGCCTGATTTGGCCCCCGGACCGCCAGTTGAATAGCCCTGTGCTAAAATGTGGTGTGAATGTAGCTGAGCTTACTTTCATAAAGTAATAATTGGTAGTACAACTGGTTAAATTTGGTGTATTCTCATACATTTCCAGGAAATCTTTAATATCGCTTCATTTTACTGATTTTGTTGTCAAAAAATAATAACACCATCCAGCAGTATGTAAATAAAAACATTGTGGCACATTATCAAACATTTTGTCTAACAAGCCCATTGTTATCCTTTTGTCTACTCTTTTTTTTTTTTTTTTTTTTTAACTTTTGTTAGCAGATGTTTTTCTTTTTTGCATCATTCTCTCTGTGTTTGTATTCAGGAGTTGGAGCGCTTCAAGGTGTTTGTTAGCAAGAAGCCAGCTTTCGATGTGGTCGTAGACGGTCTGAATGTCGCAAATATCAACAAGCAGAAAAGGATGCTGTCGGAGACGGTGAGAACAACGCGTACAGATGCACACTTGGTTAAAACGTTACACAATCTGTTCAGTATGTGCTTCTGCACTCAGTTTGAGAGATTTTAGTGGTTTGTTCCTATCAATGCTAGGGGTTTTCTGCCAGTTTCACTTTGCACAATCCTGCAGAGTGTGTATCCGTCTAAATGTTAGATGTGTGTAAGAGATGCTTTTATAACTGGTCAACGCCTAATTTTAGCATCACCTAACCTACTTGTCTGCCTGCCCACATCGGTCTGCCTGCATGTCTTTCTCTCACATTATTCAGCAGCGAGGCAGGAAAGTACAGACTAGTTCTCTATCGCCTCATCTGCTCAGGTTAGTGTGTGTGTGTGGGATCATGAGAATTAAAGGCGTAGAAATTTACATCAACACCAGGACTTTTTATTCAAATGCCCGCATGAATTAAATCACAGATGAGCCGTGCTGCCGATACCTGCAAACATCAGGTGAATTCTGCAGAATGTCTGGCAGACGTTTCAGCACCCTCAGTAAAAAGAGCGGCGCATCTCTGAGCTCGTCTACAGAAGGTCAGATGATGATGATGAAACCTTTTAAGCAAATTAAGTGTTTTAATTTCTTTACTACAAGTTTAAGCACCATGCAAACATCTTAAACCGTAGTTAGCAGATTTTAGTTCCACTTTTTTAATTGCAATTGGTGATTTTTTAAGCTTTAGATGGATTCTGGCTTCTTGTCGTAACAATCGACAGCGACCTTCCCACTGAACTCCTCGAAGGATTGTCATAAAAGCAAGTCAAACTCACCATATGCTAGACTTTGCATTGATTTTTGCAGCTTCTGCACATTTTAATTATGCAGCCACTCTTGCATAAATATAACCTTTATGGACGAGTCACGAGTAGTTTACGTCCTGCATTTGCGCTGCAAAATTCAGAATTTAAAGTTAGCAAATTTACCTTCCGAACAAGCCGAATGGGTTTTGAGGACAAGGCCAGAATGAAACTAAAGGCCTAGCGTTTTTTTTTTTGAAGCATTGATTATCACCCACATTCCTTCAGCAGTGTCTTATGTTGAGAAACAACAGTGCTGTATCCATTTTAATCAAACCTTGAAAACAAAAATTATATGCAATCTGACACTCAAGAGTATGTGTTATGAATAACTCTCAAAAATGCACATAGACATTTAACAGTGAGTGTAGGACAGCACCAAGAATCCCTCAGAACAGAACCGGCAACAATCCTCCAAACAAGAACAGAAACTCGTAACAACAAGTTCTGACGCTGTCTGAGAACAAACCTTTTTGTCTTAACGACATTGTCTTTTTAAAATTTAGACTTCATACCTATTAAAAAACAGATCCTTTCCACTTATCAGTTTTCATTTGCATTAATTTGGCCAATTCTTTTACCATTTTACAATCAAAGTTTACAACAAATTCAGATTTTGACCCATCTAGTTGCCAGATTTTCTTTTTTTTTTTTTTCTTTCTCAGAACATGAATCTATGCACCAAATAAACTGGAAAACCATTTAATTTTTATTCATTCTCTCCACCTAAAACCACATGTTTCAATCCTATTGTGGCAACATGGGAGAAATCAGGGAATTCCCAGTCATTATGGTAAATCATGAAGGAAAAGTGTATATAAAGTCTCATTACAGTTTATATAAAAATGCACAGTGGTTTTAATCAGATCCAATAGGCTCAGTGCCTGCACAGCTCCAAATAAAATATTACATTTACAGCCTTCAAAGTAGCCTAAAGAATCACTACAACCACACTTGTAAATGTTTAATTATTTACACATGCACTTACTTGCTCTGTTAAACTTTCGGGTATGAGTGACCTAAAAAAAATTCATCACAGCTCATTTCTGAACAATGTTTCAGTACTTTAGTAAAGTTGTACAGGATTTTTCTACTTTATTTGGAAAAATGTTACAAGTCTGAAGAACCAAGCTTCGTTTAAACCTACTTGTTCTATGTGTTAAACTGGGAAGCATTAGCAAATGCAAAGTGTGTAAAAAGTTGACTTAAAGCTTGATTTACTAACATAAGAGCTACTTTTTGCATCGTATATTCTGATTGTGTGTGACGCTTCCTAAACAGCTTATTAAATATGTATGTATGTATATATATATATATATATATATATATATATATATATATATATATGCTGTTTCCAGAAGTATGTACAAATGAATGTGCTGACGTACATTTTTGTGTGTTTCAGTTATTGGCGGTGGTGTCTGAGCTCGAGTGTCAGGGCCTGAATGTTCTGGTTCTGGGGAGGAAACACATGCTCAGGCCCTCCATGTTCTGGAAAAAACACAACATGAGCCTCATCCAGCAGAAAGCTCATTGCTTCTTTACTGATAACATGTGAGAATCTCTAAATATTTTCTTCCAAATGGAGTTGATTGAGTTATTTTCATGTAAAAATGCATTTATTGATGATTTGTCTTAACAAATCTCTCACCTGCCTGTCTTACCAGCTCTGAGGACGACCCTTTCTTGCTTTATGCCACTTTGCATTCCGGGAACCACAGTCGATTTGTGAGCTTGGACCTGATGAGGGACCACAAGGCCTGCCTGCCAGACAGGGCCTCCAAACGCCTCTTCTTCAAGTGGCAGAGAGGCCATCAGATGGTTGTACATGGGATCATCTCTGAAGGCAGGAGGGTCCGATTTCTGGTGAGGAGATTGACAGTTACAACAAATGTAAAAAAAAATAAAAAAAAAGAAGCTAAAACTGGCTTGTTAAAGATACTTGAAGCAAAACACGAGCTAAAATCTAAAATAAGCTAAATGCTAGCAAAAAGTTAAAAGTCGCCAAATGATTGCTAAAAGTAGCCAAAGGGTAGTTAAAATCGAAAAGTAACCTAAGACAAAAATTCTTTGAAGGAATGTAATACAGTAATACCATTCTCTTTGTATTTTTATGTGAAGCAAATGTTATGTGGTATAAAGGTTTATAAAATTGTGTTTACATAAGCTACAGGGACATTTTTCAGGTTTGAGTTGGTTCAGGGGGCTTAAATCTGCCCTAGAGTTGGCCCAATTTTTCTAGATGTTAGCTCATTCATACGAATTTATGCCTGAATCTCCTGAGATTATGGCTGTTGACTGCAGGTTAGATACTGACCACTCATTACAATGCAACAGAACCTTACTATTAACAAGCCTGAACTTCCCTTTAATTACAACAATTTCATTTAATTGATTTTGAAGAAGGTATCAAAGCCATCATATTTAACCTTTAATTGAAGTAGTTTGGTGTTATAACTCATTTTCTTTGTCTCTACAAAATGAGAACTTCCTCACAAACTAACAAACTAAATAAATGTGTGTTTTAAACAGCGTATTCCCAGCTATGACACCATTATCCAGACTACAGGAGATTCTTGGCACATTCCCTACGACGGCACAGAGGACAGGAGCTCCTATGAAGTGCCACAACGGTGGTTGTGTCTCACAAAAAAACACTAAAGAGTTTTTGTGAATTAAACAATGCAAATCATATATACATCAATGTGGACCTGTAAATAAAACTGTTTAAAACGCATGTGGTGTCTGTGTTTTTCAATAAATGACGCTTGTAGTTCAAAACACGAGTGAAAAACTACAATACAACCCGGCAAATTTGACCCGGAAGTGGAAGTTTAATCTTCCGGTGGCCGATGCTGCCCATGTTTTGTTTTTTCTTTTCAGTTTAGTTTCATTTTCCCCTCTTTTTCCCAACTTCTTTATCTTTGCGGTCATGTCTCGGGGGTCTAGTGCAGGCTTTGACCGGCACATCACCATCTTCTCCCCGGAGGGAAGACTCTACCAAGTCGGTGAGAAATAAAAGAAAGAAACTTGCTCTGTCATCACTGCTATGCTAACAGGCTGCTAGCAGCCAACGCTTATGCCAAGAAAAATATTTCTTCATAAAATGTAATTAACTTCAAGTTATATTAGTTTTCACTGCTTGGTGTTAGTTATACCGCATCTTAAAGTGATCATAATTTGCTACAATTTTAATCTGCATAATTTTTAACTTTAAAAACGAGGCAATGTCTTAAGAGCTTAATTTTTTCAAACTCCCCAAGCTTTCAGAAGGTATTTAAGGTGTTTTTTTTTTTTTTTTACATTAGCTCATTTTTCAGCCCAGTTTTTGTATTTTACAAATTAATTGTTTAGGTTGTTACTTAATGATCTATGATTTATTTAATTATCATATAAAAAAAACCTTAAATGCTATGAATGAACCAGTGCTCAGTGTCTAGCTAACCCATTTTAGTTTAATTATAGCAGTAATTCAGATTAAAAAATATCCCATTTTATACAAACCATAAATAATCAGATTGATTTCAATCCAAATATCCATCCACCTATTTTCTATGCAGGAGCTGGCACAGTGGGTGATGGGCACATTGAATGGGTCACAGGTCCAATACTTAACTATTGACACCTAAGCTCAATTTCCATTCATCCATTATCTTTACCTGCTTTTTCCTTTTCGGGTCACTGGTGCCCATATCCAGCAGTAACTGTGTGAGAGGCAGGATACAACCAGGTTGCAAGTCTGTGATACATTGAGAAAAACAATACAAATAATCATTCACACTCTCACTCACACCTAGGGACAATTTAGAGTTACCAATCAGTCTAACATGCATGTTTTTAGTCTGTGAGAGAAAACCAGAGTACCCGGAGAAAACCCACTCATGCACGAAGAGAACATGCAAACTCCACCCAGAATGGCCCCCGACCGGAATTAGATCTGGTGATCTTCTCGTTGAGAGGCAACAGCTCTACCAACTGAGCCACTGTGCCGCGTGCCCTAAGCTCTGTGTACTAGCTTTAATTAACCTAACCTAAAAACTGCCTAAGAAATCTTGAAAACTCCCAAGCAAAACGTAAAAACAGCCTAACAAACCTTAAAACGACGTCTTTCTAAAGAAGCTGGAGAGAAAGGAACTTGTACATTGGCAGCTTCTTTCTGCAAGAAAAGCATGCAGAGATAAGGAATCTTGTACGTTGTTTTTATTTTCACGAGACACAGCTACTTAGCTGGCATTAAATAAAAACTTTCATCCCCATTATTAAAATGAAGTAAATAGTAATTGCTCATGAGATTATTTTTATTGTGTACATTCAGAGTATGCCTTCAAAGCCATCAACCAGGGAGGACAGACTTCTGTAGCGATTCGTGGGAAGGACTGTGTCGTGGTGGTCACTCAGAAAAAAATTCCCGTCAGTAACAACACAAATGTGTTTCTGTTCCTCTATGGAGTTTTTCAGCTGCTATTTGCATTGCTGTTTGTTTGTCTAAGCAACGTGTTTACATTTGTGTTTGTCAGGACAAACTGTTGGATGCCACGACCGTCACAAATATGTTCAGAATCACAGACAACATCGGCTGCGTTATGACCGGCATGACAGGTGAACAATGTTTCAGCCTCGTCGATAGCTGAAAAGTTTAACTGGCAAAAAAGTAATAAAATAAGCCACAAACATTTGGAAGTGTTTTGACATTTTACGGGACTTTTTTTGTCCTTCATTCGTCCAGCTGACAGCAGGTCTCAAGTGCAGAGAGCTCGCTACGAAGCAGCAAACTGGATGTACAAGTACGGCTACGAGATCCCTGTAGACATGCTGTGCAAACGCATGGCCGACATCTCCCAAGTCTACACACAAAATGCCGAGATGAGGCCACTCGGCTGCTGTGAGTCACATCCAGAAATGCTACGGGATTTTACCTTTTAAATTTCACGCCTGTCTTTGTTTCACTCGGAGCTTGGGGGAAAAAACATGTTTTTTTTAACCATCTAAACTTGATTGAGAAGCACATGTAAAATATTAAAGATTGTATGTTTTGTGCAGGTATGATTGTGGTTGGAGTGGACGAGGAGCTGGGCCCACAGCTGTATAAATGTGATCCAGCCGGTTACTACTGCGGCTTTAAGGCCACAGCAGCTGGAGTCAAACAGACCGAGGCCACTAGTTTTCTTGAGAAGAAAATCAAGAAGAAACTGGACTGGACCTTCGAGCAAACAATAGAGGCAGGACATGCACAAATACTACTGTGTGTGTATGAGTGTGTGTATTGTCAAATGTCTTCATATTGAATTGATTATTCCCTGCGCTGGTTTAAGCCAAATTAAATTCTCCGGTTCAACGACAACCTTTTGGTTTTAGATAAGTACATTCACTGCTTTACCTCAGATCATCCAAGGAATAATTCTTGCTTTATCTCCGATTGATAAACCATCACTAAGTAATTACCTAATCAAGCAATTCTCTAAATTCTTAGTTATTTGTGTTACATTGATGTTTATTAATTTTATGTTGATTCTATTTTTGATTTAGATTATTTTTCAATAAAATTTGGCTTTGTCTTACTTGGTAAATATTTCTTGGTTATAATAAAGAGTTCCAAGTAATTGAACAAATTCCAATTTAGTGCTGAGCTCTGATTATTAAAAAGGTGAATTAATTAGGTCATCTATAGACTGAACTATAAGTTTTACTCCATTTTTATTGGTCTATAAACCTAGTACTCCTATTTTATTCAGAGCTATAATTGTGATAAAGTTAGGGAAAATAATTATCATCCTTACGTCTATTTGTTACAATGTTAAGATTCATTCCAGGGGTGCACCGATTGCAGTTTTCTGGCCGATCACAGATTTTAAAAATGTCTGACCTGCCAATTCCGATTTTGTCCGATAACGATTTTGTTTTATAAGCGACACTGTCAGGTGTTATAAGGTCACAATGCACCTTCAATTTTCCAACCTTATTTTATTGAAAACATACCCTTGAACAACCTCCTAGAAACAATACAAACGTGTTTTAACTGGCCATGAGTTAGTGCTCTGAAATATAAATTAAAGTTCAGACAATTGTTTAAACAAAAAAAAAAAATCTGTAAATTCAGTTTCTCATGCAAGTATTGGCCGATTTCCCAAAATTAAGGATATAGGGGCCGATAAATCGGCCGACTGATTTATCTGTGCACCCCTAGTTCATTCATCAAGATTAATCTTGTTTTAGACTTGAGGAATGAATTATGTGAGATATCTTTTGATCTTGATGTTATTTTAGTTCCATAGGTTTAGAAAAACTTTACGTATACCAGTACTTAAAAAAAGTTTATGCAGTTTAATATTATCCTCTTATTAAGCACAAAGTCAGATTCTGCAACTATTTTAATTTCAGAATAAGAATGCTTTCCTTGTAAATGTATATGTTACACCTGTCTGTAACATTTAAGACTGTGAGAACTTTATTGTTTAAAACTGTATTTGTTCTAAAGAGCTCCATTTCTTGCATTTTAATAAATCCCTTTTGTCTCAAACCAGATGGCCATTTCATGTCTGTCCACTGTTCTGTCCATTGACTTCAAGCCCTCTGAGCTGGAGGTGGGAGTTGTTACTACACAGGAACCTACATTTAAGTGAGTTTTCCTTTAACACAAAGTACAGATTTCCAGCTCCAAATTTACAGTCCAGATGTTGTCATGGAAGCAGGATTAACTCAGAAGTTAAAAGTTTGGTACTTTAAAAAAATAAATAAATTTGCACTGAAATCTAAAAAAGTGTTTACGTTTCAGGATTCTGTCAGAGTCTGAGATTGACGCTCACCTGGTGGTTTTGTCTGAAAGAGAGTGAGAAAACTGTTGGATGAGAAGAAGGATGAAAGGTAAAACCAGAAGCATGTGTCACACTGAACTTCAACCAGGATTATAAAGATTGGGACAAGATCCAAACGACATGGACATTTTACTGCAGAAGGTTGGAGTCTGTCTACTGCCTGCACGGCCACTTAACACTCTCCATATTCCCAGGTCGTAATCTGAACCAGACTTGCTTTTTTTTTTACACTGATCCAACATGAATGGAGCCAGCTGCAGAACATCGCAGACCTTTAAAACGAACCTGGACATTCAGATCTGTACAGATGACACGTCAGCTCACTAGTTTGTGGCTGACGTGTCAGACAGTTACCGACTTTCAGTGTAACCAGTTGATGAGTGAGCAGAGCTCACTGCAGTTCCCAACCTCTCAGATTTAAACTCGGTGGTCTTCTGTTTTTACTCAGGTCAGCTGTGGAAGTTTTTCCACAGCGTCACACCTCCGTCGAACTCTGCTCAGGTCTACGTCACTCATTACTCCCTTCTGCCCCTCTGCTGTTTACACCTCCATTAAACACGCGTTTGAATTTTACTCTGAAGTCTTGATGGTTTTTTAATTTATATTTTGCCTAATATTCAGACTTGACGTTAATTTATGTCTGTCTTAGTGGAAACGTTCAAAAATCTGAGTGAGTGTTGCCGCAGTGACTCGTTCATTTGTAGCACCATCATATTTACAAAATGAGCCACTTGTATGAAAGGGGCTTTTCACTCATTTAAAACTTTAAACACCTGGCTTATAAATCAAATACATCTCTGCAACAGTGATTGTGTGTTTATATTGTAGCTATTTTGGATAGCATGTGTTTTTAAAATCAATTTGACTGCCAATTTTGGTTAAAGAAAAAAAGCACTTGAGTTCACTGTTTAGCTTCTTGCAGCCAAAGCTGACGTGCAAATATGAAAATAGGTGAGAACGTTGGCTTTCCTTAGCTCATTCTGCTCAACATGTTTTATATTTTTTGCTTGTATCTCAATGAAAGCTGTTAAAATCTTTAAAGATACCATGAAGAAACAAAAAAAAGCTAAGGAGGAAACCAGCTGTAATGTTGGGTGATCTGATTAAAATTGGCATTAAAATGTCTCCAAATGTTTCTAGGTTCTTGTGATCAGATGCTTCTTCTCAGCACTATGAGAAGATAAATCATTACATTAGATTACATCACATCAGGTCAGCTGTTGGAAGGAAACATAACATGATTCAGAATTTGTCTAAATCCCATATATTGGTTTAGTTTGGTGAAACATTTCATTAGTCTTTTTTGTGTACAAACTATGATGAATTCAAAAAAACGTTCAATACAAAAACAACTGGACTTTATTTGTAACAGAAGACGTTTCGCTCCTCATCCGAGGAGCTTTCTCAATTCAAAGAGCAGAGAGTAAGGGTCCTTCACCTCAGCTGGTATGTGGTTAAAGCTCTCCTGGAGGTGTGAGTTGAAGATCTCTCTGATGGATTCTTCTGTCAGACGTTCTCAGCAAACCCACACTACACGTTTGGGTCTACCGGGTCTGTCCGGCATTTTCCCCTGCCTTTAGATATGATTCTGCAGTGCCGATCAGAGATTTGCATAAACGAATGACTCTGGATGATCATTTTAAGCAGAATTCCTCTTTTCTCATCTTCTGCTTCATGTTGGGTGTTCAGCTGAAACTCCTGTCTTTAAGGGAGTGTAGTGACGACCAGGAATGTTAAACGGTCATGCTCAGTTCCAGGGAATTTCCCATCCTTTTTCTTAGCCAACAACTAAAATACTTCCTGATTAAGATGACAGAACAGTTAACCCAATTTGACACTTCCAAATAAATTTAAAAAATCCCGAAGTGTCTTATCTCAGTTGTACACACGCATGTGGCACTGGAGAAACAGTCAAAGCTCAATTAGTCAGCATTTTTCACTCGTACGTGAGCTGTCAAATTGGCTTTTCCCCCACTTTTATGAAAATACAAATCCGTTTGTCAGAAATGAAACGCAATGATAAGAGCTCATTTTGTCTAATCAGACTCCGCGACGGCAGGAAAAAAGGAATGTGGGTAACAATGTTCCCTCTATAGTTTCATGTGTCTGGACAAACACACAAGCTCCTTAAGCGCACTGAGGACCACTGTGAGCAACATCAGATGTGCACGCTGTGGTTACACACCAGTATCACACCTGTTCAAAATCTGGGATCATAGCAAGTTACATGACTTATTAAAAGAATCCAATTACAGCAGCAATTCCCATTAGTTTACTTTTAATATAAGTGATTTGGACAACTTCAAATGAAAAATACAACATTTTTGCACATGAGATGTGTAGTATGTTGTTTATAAGAGTCCTGCTTTGGTCTGGATGAGGGTCCAGTTGTGGCTTGGGTGAGGGTCCTGCTCTGGAAGATGGTTAGCAACACGGTGGTCATTGTTGTCATGTTTGTAATGTGGGGAGGGACACTGGTGTGGAGTCTGGGGGTCCTCCCCCAGAAATTTTTGAATAAAGTAGATGCCATTTCCTGCATTCTGGTATATTTTAACGGGTTGTTAAAAGTCTAGTTTTACCTACACAAGTAAACACTTGATTCAGCAACTATTTTAGAGTTAATGGCACAACAACAAGTAGCCTGACCAACAGCTCTCCTTGTGTGAACAGAACACGCTCTGCTTCTCTCACGCATCCTACTCATAGTCTAAGAAACATAGTGTAGCCTAAGTTTTTTTTTTGTTTGTTTGTTTGTTTTTTTAGGGGGAGGGGTCACTAGCCAATATGAAACGATAACAATAATCACTCCTTCTTACCAATGGCCTAGCATACAGCAATATGGTCATCATCAATTGTGTTTGTGAGTAGCTTAAATTACCTAAAGCTCCAGTAATGGGCTAGGTCTACTGTTACCTTACCTAGTTCTAGGATCAAGAGACAAACCTGTGGCATTAACACAGTATGAACAACATTCAAGAATTATTTATGTAAGAACATTATCAAATATTTTACATGAATAGTATGATCACTTCACCCAAGAGGAAATGTAACCCAGTGTGAGCTAACCTCTGACAAATTAACAAACAACATGGCTGCAATGATTGAAGTAGTGAAGTTTGCTGATGGTGTGAGTGATGAGGATATTTATAAACTTCTTAGATTATGATTGAAGTGTTCTGCTTGGGTGGTTCAGTCTGGTAGACAGCAGCCAGCACCTTGAGGTTTGTGGGTTCAAATCTTACCACTCACATGCTTTTAATCAAAACGACCAAACTGAAAAGATAAATGCGCTATGAGAAATATTCTGAATATGAAAGGTGCTTGTGGGTCAGTCTGGTAGACAACTGCAGCTGCTTTCAGATCTGAGGTT